AAATGAAAGTCTTAGGGAATTTGGGGACAAAACAGCAGAGTTGACTGAGGACGGAGATTGGCCGACCCTGGGCAATGTTTCATTGTTGCCGCCAGGGGGCGCTCCAGGCATCCAAGCGGGTGGAGACGGGGAGGCTGCTGAACACCCCAGTCTACCGGCGCTCACCCCCCACAAAGAATGACCCCGCCCCCAATTTCAGTGGTGCGGAAGGGGGAGCCTTCCCTCATTAACAGGAGATGGTGACCGTTATATCTTAAAGAGAGTGGCAAGGCCTGGAACCTTCCATCACACGCAGGGGGCAGCCTGCAGGCGAACGTTCTAGAAGTGGATGCGGGCGCACCTGCCATCCTGGATCTCGGCCCTCGGGGTCTCCCTGAGAACGCGCCCAGATCTTGCTCTGGGACCCGGGCAGCCCCCCATCTCCTCTGGCCCCCCGGTTCTCAGTGTGTGTGGGGGTGTCTCTGCCTCCCGGTCTCCGGAAACACTTTTGGGGGCATTCACCGGGTGCCGGGGCGCCACTACACCTGCTGCAGTCAAACACCCCACAGCCACAGGGCGCGACGAGGCTGGTCCTTCGCGGGAGAACCCCCCGTGAGCGCTGCATCGCGGGGAGGGCGGGCTACGGCCCCCACAACTGGCCGGTCAGACACCCCGAGAGCGGGCACGAGGGTCCTGTCCATCACAGGGATTTTAAAGCAAAGCCTGGGGACGTGCACAGGGGGCCGGCGTTTACGAAGAAAACCCTGAACGAAAGTTCTGGGGCCGACCCTGCGGCCCTCATGAGTTCCGCTCTCGGGCGGCTCCCTGCGCCCCGAAAGCGGGGACCCCGGCCTCAGCCCCCCGCGCGGCTCCTGCCCGCGCCCTTCCCGTCCCGTGGCCGCGGGAGGCGGCGCGTAGGCCCGGCCTGGAGCCCGCGGGGCGCGGGCCTGGTTCCCTCCCGCGCCCCGGCCGCCCCCGCCAACCCCTGGGACCCCCACGCCCCCGCAGACCCGAGACCAGGCGCGAGTCGCGGGCCGAGCAGCTCCAGCGCGCCCCGCCAGCGCCCCGCGGCCTCACCTGGCGCAGGTAGGGTGGGGCCGGGACTCGCCGCCCAGGCGCCGCGGCCGCGGGAGGCGGAGCCCGGGGAGCCGAGGGTCCCGCCCCGCCCCGCCCCGCCCCGCGCCCCGCCCGGCTCCGCCCTGACGCCTGCGCCCCGATGCCCCGACCCCGCGCGCGGGCGTCCCGCGCACACCCCGGGAGGCCCGGGGTCCCGGCCCGCCCGCTGGGGAGATGCGGCCGCCCGGGGCGGGTGGGCAGGGAAGGCCGCCCCTGGCCCCGGGCCGCCTCCGGCGCCGGTTCTGTCGTCAGCGCGACGCGGCCGCGCCCAGGCCTGCGCGGGTCCGAGACGCCCCCACCGGGAAGCCGGCGCCCCACGCGCGCCTCAGAGCGGTGGGCGTCGCCGCGCGGCGCGCTGGACACAGGCGAAATGGAGCCGCCAAGGAAGTCGTTGCGGTTTAAAAACGAACAAGCAAACAAAGCGGGGGCCCTCCCTGGTGGCGCAAGGGGCTAAGCACCGCACTGTGAAGCTGCGCACAGCCTCCGCAGCACGAGCTCGAGCCCCACCCAGGGAGGAGACCCCCATGGCGCGGCAGACCCCCTCTGCCCTCCCTGCCTGCCCGCTGCTCCCCTCAGCGGTGCGCCTCAGTCAGCCTGCGGGTTCTGCGCCCCGCTCTGTCTCTGGGGAATCCTCTCAGCCCTCCTATCTCTGGCCTGTACCCCCGCTCTTACATCCATAAATAAATAAATTTTTTTTTTTTTTTTAAAAGAAACTAAGTAGGGCCGGCCTCACGAGGAAACACGGCTCCCCCGGGATACGAGGCAAGAACTAGCGCCACAAAGGACGGAGACGCAGCGGGCGCAGACGTGTCCGTCATGAGGGAAACACAAAGCCCTGCGCTTGGACCGAGGCGGCAGGAGGCACCGCGAGTGCGGCTCGAAATCCCCATTCCCGGGCCAGACCTTGGTGGCCTCCTGCCTCCCTCACATCTCCCGAAGCATCGTTTCCCCTCGTGCTTCTTCGAGCCCGCGCTGCTTTGGCCCCCACGGCCGCTGAGCGTGCAGCCCCCGGGGCGCGGGGTGGGGGGCCGGGTTTGCTGCGGTGACCACGTCAGGGGCCGGCTGGCTGCTGGAAGCGCCCCCGCGTTTCTCAGAAGGCCGCCCTGTGTTATGTGACGCCGCCTGTGGTCAGGAGAGAGGAAAGGAGGCGAGGGCGAGGCTTGAGCCCTGCCCTAAAGGCCATCCCACTGACGGCCATGCTGTGGGGAGATCAGCCAGGACTTTCCTCCCAGTTTCCCAGGAAGTGCTTCCCTGCAGCCAGCCCCTTAGTTGATCCTGGATTTCTGAGGTGGCCTTGCAGCGCTTCCTCACAATCCCAGGGGACGCTGCCCTGCCCCTGGTCCACCTCATCCCCGAAGGACAGCTGGCCTCTCCTGGCCCAGGAGCCAGCTCCCCGGTGCTCTGGATGGAGTCCAAGCTGACCAAGATGAGCAAATGAAGACACATGATGGGGGAGGGGCAAGACAGGATGCTCGCTCAGCTGCAGGGAGGCAGCTCGCTCATCTCCTCTCCAGAGAGGCTGCCCGCTCCCACGCTCGGGCAGCTGCATGTTTGCACAGGCTGGGGGTGACAGCAAGCCTTCCTGTGCAGGCCTCTGTCCGCTCTGTCTCTGTGTGGTCAACGTGGAAACTCTGATGGGCGGCTCTGGCTTGTCACCACCACTTCCTCTGCACCCATCTTTCCTGTGCACACATCAAGGGAGAGCCCTCCACATCATGAAAAAACAGAAAATCTAATCAACAGAAGCGTTTCACTTTACCCTTTGGAGACTTTCCATGTGGACACACAAGAAAGTTGCAGCCCCATGAGCGACCCTGTTCACAGCAGGAGCTGAGCCGCTGAGCTTTAGCTAGAAGCTGCCCAGGATCCGATGTCCAGGCTGGCATCTCCGTCAAGAGCCAACAGCTCACATTAGACTATCTGTTCCACAATAGCATGTGAGGACGGTGTTACAGACACAGGGGGATGGCTGCCCTCCACGTGGCATAAGGACATTTCTGGGGGAGACTGTCTAGATGAGTAGAATGGATGGTGCTGGTGGGCTGGAGTGGGGGAGTTTTGAAATTTGTAGCTGAGGATTGAAACAATAGAAAAGAATGAAAATCCTGTTATTTACAAGAATGTGGCTGAACCCAGGGGACGCTGGCATCAGACAAGGAGGACAAATTCTGATGCTTTATGGGAAGATGAAATTGTAGTGTTGATTGTAGTGTTTGCTGCATGACTATGTGGATTTATCACAACGTGTAGAACTGAATGTGCAGAGAGAAGAAAGTTAATGGGAAATAGTCAGCAACATCCAAAGAAAGAAAAGATAACAGATTGGGGAAGGATATTTTCTCATAGACCGTGAGGCGGAGTGCACATTGGTGTACTGTTTCGTTGTTCAAAAATGGCTTAGGCCCTTTGAGAAACAGGACGAGAGACACATTTTGAGTTGAAAATACAGTAGAATATTTAAGAATCGAATCTTCAATTTCTGCGTTATAACAGCCTGAAGGAGTGTACTTATGTAAGAAATAGAATCTATTTTTGTATTTAAAAGTAGTGTTATTGAAACGTTATAACAAATCTTTGAAGATGATAGTGTAATCACTACATTGTGATGGAGCCTATTAGCTTATCCAGGCATAAGGATGCTGGTTATTGAGGGAATATTAGTTTACAACCCTGTATCAGTTTCAGGCACACAGTTTGTCACGTCGGCCAATGTCCGTCATACCATGCATTCTGCCCAGTGTCCAGTCACCACCCACCACCAAGTGCCCACCACCAAGTGCCCAGGCCCCTCTACCACTAGCCTCTCCCTTCTTCCCCACTGGCCATTACCATACTCCTTTCAGTGTCTAAGCGCTTATTTTTGTTTTAGTTTTATTTGTTCATTTGCCTTTTTCCCCTTGTTATACCACAAATGAGTCAAATCATACAGTATTTGTCTTTTTCCTTCTGATTTAATTCACTAGCATCATCCCCCCAAGATCTATCCAAGGTTGCTGCCCATGGCAAGATTTCATCCTTTTTAATGGCTGAGTAGAATTCCACCGAGTGTGTATTTAGCACACCTTCTTTTTCATTCATCTGTGTCAGGCCCTTGGGCTGTTTTCCTGTCTTTACCATTGTTGAATAGTGCTGCAATAAATTTTTTTTTTAATTCTTGTTTCATATTCTTCAGGTAAGTACACAGAATTAGGACTACTGGATCACATGGTAGTTGTATTTTAACTTTTGGGGGTGGATCTCCAGGCTGTTTTCCAGAGTGGCTGCACTAATTTACATTCCCACCAATCCACAAGCTTGCTTTCCCTTTCTCCGCACCTTCACCAAATCTTGTTATTTCTTAGCTTTTTAATAATCACCATTCTAAGCAGTGTGAGGTGAAATCTCATTGTGGCTTTGATTTGTATTTCCCTAATGATAAGTGATAAGACATCTTTTCATAAACATGTGGCCCATTGGGATCTTCTTCGGTGAAATGTCTATTAAACTCATTTGTCCATTTTTTAAATTGGGTAACATGTTTTCTGCTGTTGAATTGGATGAGTGGCTTTGTATATTTGGGGCATTTACCCCTTCTCTGATGTGTGGTGGGTAAATGTCTTCTCCCATTCATTTTGGTCAAAATGCAACATTTTTGCATGATCAGAATTTTTTCCCTATTTCTGGACATAAAGTGCACATTTCAAAATTTAGAAACTGACCCAGAAATGCGTTCCAGGAAGGGCAGACAGTTGGCAGAGGACTTGGTTAACCCACAGATGTGGTCAGAGACAGGGATGGAAGGGAGCTGTTTACCTGCTTGCACTGTGTGAAAGCCCCATGGCAGCTTCGCCCACCACATCCTGGGTGTCTCCAGCCCATGGGCTCAGTCCCGCCTGCCTGGACACCAGCCTGGTACATGTGCCGGCATGCCTTCCCTGCTCACTGCCCTGCTCTGCATCGGTGAGTCCTGCCTTGGGGGGAGGTGGGACCCAGGGTCCGCTGCGGTGGGCAGCGCATCTCACGATTCCCGACTTCTAGGCCTGCCCCTGAGCCAGAGGATCAGCACCCAGATGCGTGAGTCCTTCCCACAAAGCCCCAGAGTCACCTTTCTGGGTTCAGACCAAGATTCCCCCTGATAACAATTTGAGGGGCAGGGCCTCTGGCTGGTAAGGAAGGCCAGAGGCGGGTGGGGATTCGTTTGGGAAGGGCCCAATCTGGAGCTCCAGACTCTGATTCCCTTCCAGAGACGGTCCCCAAACCCACCATCTGGGCCGAGCCCGATTTCAAGATCCCCTGGGGAAAGCCAGTGGCCCTCTGGTGCCGGGGAGCTCATGAGGCCGTGGAGTACCAGCTGCACTTCGAGGGACAGCTCTCCGCCTCAGTGCGACCCAGCCCGCCTGAAGTGAGGGTCAGAGTCAGATTTGACATCCCGGCCATGACCTTAGGCACCGCGGGGAAGTACAGCTGCGCCTATCAAAGCGGGGGGCTCTGGTCAGAGCCCAGTGACCCGCTGGATCTGGTGATGACAGGTAACCGTACTCTCGCCCTGCTGCCCATGCAGCTCCTCGGCCTGACCCCTGCCAGCTCCCGGCCTGGCTCAGACACTGCTAGCCGTGCACGCGGCTCGCTCGCTTTCCTGGGGCTTGTCTCGAGAAAGTTGTCTCTGTCACCAAAGATTTGCCCTCAGCCGGGTTCTCCGGGCAAGCCTCTAGAGGGATGTTTGCACGAGAGGGGGTTGCTGTGGATGAGGGGGCATGTTGCTGGGTGAGGGGCTGGGGGCCGTCTCCATGGAGACCATGGCAGAGGGACTCCAAGCCTGGGGCGGCCGCCAGAGCCCTCCCAGGATGCGGCTGGGGCCTCCGGGCTTTGTCTCAGCCTGGGCCCACGAGCACCGGCTGAGGGCCCTGCTGGGGAGGCACCAACTGACTTCCCAGCACATCTGTGATCCATCCGGACAAGACAGACCCGAGCTGAAGGGCAAAGGGCTTGCTCAGGTGGCTGCGAGGAGGCAAGCATGGCCGGGGAGAGAAGCAGAACCGAGCTGAGTTGAGTGGGAGGCCAGACCCTCTGGGGTCGGGGCTCCCTGGGTGGAGGAAGGTGATTCTCAATGCCAGCAAATATCGGGATGTCAAGAGGCCTGTGGGGATGCAGCACCCCATGTCTGGGGCAGCTCTGTCGCAGTAGGCTGAAGGTGGGGAGACCCCTGTGTCCACCCATGTGCGGACATCCAGGGGAAGGGTGGGCTCCGGGGGACGGAGTGGGGATCGCTGTGGAGAGGCAGGCCCACAACGAGGGGTGATGGTTGGTGGGGTGGGAGAAGTTAGAATCTCAAGGCACAGATTTTCAGTTTCCCGAGGTGAAGGGTTCTGGGGGCGACGGCTGGGAGGGATGTACGGCGTGTGAGTGCACTTGGTCTGCCGGACTCGGGTTCTTTGGTGGCGGGGACTCACGTGCGTGGGGACCCCTATACTGCCCCAACACCGAGATGGGTGTGAAACAACGGGACTTCCCGAAGGAGAAATGAGTAGGCTGGTAAATTTCGTGTTCTGTGCATTCTACAGCAGTTCAAAATGACAATAAGTTTTAAAAATACAGACGGCTGCCCCAGCCTGCATTTCTCATGCAGTAGGCCTGGGGTGGGGCCCGGGCACCTGCATTTGTAAAAGCTTCCAGGGCGGGGTGCCGCTGGTGCTCAGACCACACTCAGAACCACTGGCCTGAGACAACCCCGGGAGGAGAGTCCCTTGAACACCGTGGCAGACCCGAGCCCTGGAAGCCACAGCCGGGCCTGTCTCTGTCTTGATGTGATGTGAGGGGACAGGGCAGACGTGATCGTGACCGGGACAAGTTAAGGAGCTAGAAGGGACCCGGGTGACATCCCCCAAGTGACAACCAGGGGGCTGGGGACACAGGATCCAGGACAAGATGCTCTTGACCTACCAGCCACCTTCTCCCACAGGCATGCATGACACACCCACCCTCTCCGTGCACCCCGGGCCCGCAGTGGCCTCAGGGGAGAACGTGACCTTCTCTTGCCACCTGGAGACAGGAACAAGCAGGTTCTTTCTGCTCAGGGAGGGCAAGGCCAGCCGCCTGCAGCAGAAATACGGCAAGATCCCGGCCGAGTTCCCCTTGGGCCCCGTGACGGCAGCTCACAGGGGCACGTACAGATGCTTCGGCTCTTACAACAGCCACCTGTGGTCTTTCCCCAGCGAGCCTGTGGAGCTCCTCGTCACAGGTGACAAGCCCCCACCGCACCCCTGGTCCTCTCTGGAGGCCCAAGGGGACTGCAGCCAGCGAGGGGGCGGCGCGGAGGTCACTCCCCCCCACCCCGTACCGTCCCCCACGCCCATCCCCGAGCAGCCCTGGGTGGCCATGAGGGCGGACGTCAGACTTAGGGCGGGGCAGGGCGTACAGAACGAGTGGGGAGACCGGAGGAACCCCACACGCTTACTTTTTCCCGTCCCTTCGCCAGATGTCGGCAACACCAGCGTGGCCCCCCCAGAGGACACCTCTCCTCCCGGTGAGTCGGGCCCTCTTCCAGACTAGGGGGGACCCGGCGCCTCCAGCATGTGATGCCAGAGTGTGAGGCGGCGCGTGCTCGAACACCCTGTATTGGGAGCCCTCTTGGCAGCCGGACACAGGTCCTCACTCTGTGGCCTTCGTTTTCTAGCAGAGGCAAAAGCAGGATAGAGAAATCAGCCCCATAGCTCAGGAGGAGGAGGTGAGGGTGTGGAAAGGGATGAAGGTGATCTAGTGGGGGGAGCACCTAGATGGAGTTCTCCCAAGGGACCCTACCGAGAGGGGGACCCCTGGCAAGGAGTGGAAAGGCTGAGGCGTTAGCCTCGTGACTCTGGGAAAGACCCCAGGGAGGGGGCGCTCCCCGCACGCGCCCCACGAGAGGGCCGGTGGAACGGAGGGAGAGCAGGGAGGCCGGGAGGCTGGAGGCGATGGCAGAGAGGAGCTGCTGGGGGCTGGTGGGGCCCGTGGGGAGGAGAAGAAATGGTGTTCGTTGCCTCCGGGAGGAGACTGAGGCTCGGCGAAGGGGTGACTGGCATGAAAACACGCGCTTCTTAGCCCCGGAGCGGAGTTCTTCCTCGGGTCAGCTGTCCTTTGACGCCTCTCTCTTCCTGTCAGAAGCTGCTAGGACCTGAAGTCGGGGGTCGGGACCCTGAAACACTACGATGTCATGGGGTGGGTCTGAGGGAAGGAGGCGACGCCTGGAGGAGAACGAACCATCTCTTTCCCTCCCACCTTCTCCTCCCCCGCCACCTGCAGACTCTTCGGACACCTACTTTTTACCTACAGAGCCAGGGCTCCAGGGAGGTAAGCAGGGAGCTCTGGAGGAGCTAAGATCTAGACGGGAGGGCGGGCGGGAGGGGGGGAGGGAGTGCCCGCCGTGCTAACGTTCTTCTGGCCCCAGAACTCGCCCTCTGGAGCCACAACACCCGGAACCTCATTCGGATCGGCCTGGGGTGCCTGGTGCTGCTGGCCCTCGTGAGTCTCCTGGTTGAAGACTGGCTTAGCCGGAGGAGGACTCAGAGGGGCGCCCAGAGGGCTTCGAGAAAGGAATGAGGAAGGTTCTGGAAACAAAGAGCCCTGGACAGAGGCCAAGCTGTGTGGTGGCCGTGGTGGGAGCACAGATCTGACCTTGAGGCTGTGACATCTCTGGTACCCAGAGTGAAGGACATCGCTGCGGGAAACTCAGGGACACGGCCTAGAATTTAGTGGACGCCCCAGAGGCGGCACTGAAGGTGCCAAACTCCCTCTGCAATCCCAAGAGCGCTCGCAAGTGCGGCTTGTCCTCTCACTGCAAACCAGTCTTTCATCACCCAGGACTTTCCTGAAAAAAAAAAAAAAAACAAAACAAAACCAAAAACTCCCTTTATCAGTGTGGCCACGAGATTATTTCCTTCCCAGTCTGGTCTCTGTCTCTACTTCGCCCTTCCTTTCTGTGCAGGGGTCACGCAAGAGGTTTGACAGCCTGTAGGAGCGGCCACTGCTCCGTGGAAACAGGGAGACGATGCACAGGCCCCGCCTGGGGGCCGCCACCCTCTATGTCCCCCGTCATCCACCAACACGCGACTGTTGCGTTTTCATGGAGCGAGCGCGGGCTTGCGTCATGATTTGTGTCACCGACACGTTCCTGAGTGGCGCGGGGCTACGCTGTGAGCGTGTGAATTCACATGCCGGGCCCAACGCCTGTGCCCGCCGCCCCACCCCGAGAGCGCCAGGGACGTGTGATGGGCAAAGGCTGACACCGATGTGGGTGCGGCGTGGAGCTGGGGCTCCCCGGCGTGGCCTCGAGGGCTGCCCGGGCACAGGCATCCTTTCCATCGTCAGCGCCTTTACCCCACCAGCCATTGTGCTCCCGCCCCTCACACCTCCCCAGGCCAGTCGTTCCCGGACTTGGGGTTTTCTGTTCAACACCAGCAAAGAGCAACTCCAGCCTCGGAGGTGCAGCATTTAATGAGAGAGTATCGAGGCGCCAGCTCAGGTGCTGACATAGGTCAACGTGGTCATTCCCAGGAATGGAAAGTTACAGAACTTACCACCTCCTTACCTGTGACCCCAATACCAAATTCTTCTTTAGTTTATTTTTGTCTACTGGGTGTTCTAAGGTACGAGAAATTAATATCAAATTACAGTCTTCTTCATCCCCAAGTAAGACGGACAATCCAGATAGCCCCTTCCAGACAGCCCATTGCTGCTCTAGGGCAAGAAGTGCAGGTTCTCAAGGTAAAAGTGTGTCAGAAATATTTTAGGTCTCCATATGTAGAAGCAGGGGCTTGCGCTGGCGGAGGAACCGCCTCTGAGCTTCCTCTTCTCACTAGTCCAAGTCAAAACCTTCCCCACCCGGTCAACAGGGAGTTACTCTTTTTGAAATACTCAACCTGGCTTGTATTCCAGACAGCAAAGGGGAAGCAAGGAGAGAGGGAGGGAGGGAGGCAGGGAGGAAAGGTGCCTTTTCCTCCCCAAGGCTACTGCCCCTTTTCTTAGGCCACAAAAGCTCACTGGGCCGACAGGTGACAGCTTCCCTGCTCCACCGTGTGATGTGATTAAATTAGTCTTTTCTCTTGTGATCTGTCTTGTGTCCATGTAATTGCCTTGCGGTCACAATGGACCTAGAAGGTTCGAGAAGGCCAGCTTTCTCCCCAGCAGGCAGAGCGCCTCTGCGCCCTCCTCAGAGGTGGGGCTTCGCTTGGTCTCACCTGATCCGGCCACTAACGTTCCTTCCTACACTTATTTACTCACAATTCCACAGTATTTTATGTTTTCTAGACCTCACGATGAGCCGGCAGACTACGGAGCTCAGAGGGCTGAGACAACCCTTGGAGGCGCTAGTTGGACTGTTTCCAGAAATCTCTTTCCTTTGCATTGGAGGAAAGAGACATTTTCAAGGGCGTCAGAGTCGGAAGAACAGGGTCCTCTTAGCAACGGGGCTAGCATGTGTCATACACATGTCAACACGGGGAAAGCTAGAAGCACGCACGTGCCATCGCTATATGGAGTGCTGAGGGCACAGTATCCATCATTAATTATTAGCATTCATCGCCAGTGGAATCTTAAGCATTAAGGTCTCAAGGAGGAGCAAAGCTGAGTTCTGAGTGAGAACTCCGGGAGCGGAAGGGTACAGAACGGTGAGCGGGACACTGGAGAACGCTTCGCGCTACTTTTATGGCAGGAAATGAACAAAGCCGAGACTACACAGCGAGGGTTTTATCACCAATGTCCAGGCAGGTGGGGGGCAAATACATCGGCTTCACATGATAAAGTAATAATCGATTGGCTTGAAAACGAGCTCAGTGACCCTGTGGGCGACTCTCTGCCCTTTGCAGTCTCCATGCGGCTCGTCAGGACTCTAGACGTGCTGGGTCACGTCTGCTTCGGGGCCCAGTGTCCACTGTGGCCGGTGGGGGCTCCTTCGGAGCTCCACGCTGCCTGGTGTGTCCGTGTACTCTGGTGTTTGCCGTCTCCCCCGCTTGGCACCTGCCGGCTGTGCCAGGATTCGGCCAGTAGGGCCAAAAGAGCCACGAGGACCAGCCCGGACGTGCCCATTCGGATCAGATTTTCCACGGTGTAATCTTGGTTCGTGGTGCGTGGCCAAGGGACACAAATCACAGGAGAAGAACAGTCATTGGCTGTGCTCAATTCTGCCTCCAGGAGGACCCCGGAGGTGGGCTGGGGAGCACCAACCAGTGACCATGAGGGCTGGGGCATGCTTACCTGTGGCCACGAGGGCTGGGGGGCCCCTACCTGTGGCCGTGAAGGCTGGGAGACCCCAACCTATGACCATGAGGGCTGGGGCGTGCCTACCTGTGACCCCGAGGGCTGGGGGCACCTACCTGTGACCACGAGCTCCAGGGCATTGCTGGGGGCCGACCACACATAAGGGGTGTTGTTGTGCCAACCGTAGCAGCTGTAGTTCCCTGAGAAGCCGGCGTCCACGGGCCCCAGGGTGAAGAGGCTCTGGTGTCCATCATGCCGGCACGGGGCCAGAGTGCGCCCGTTGTCCGCGGTCAGCGAGAACCCGTCAAACAGGCTGTGCTCCGAGCAGCACTGGAGGGGGACGGTCTCTCCCAGCTTCACCACAAGGCGCTGGCCCGGCGCCAGGCGGGGCTTTTCGTGTGAGCCTGGAAAGGAATGGGGCAGCGTCAGCTCGGTGCTCCCACTGCCTTTATCCCCCTGCTGGCGCGGGCTCCGTGCTCCGAGGGTCGGTGCTGACGTTCTGCGTCCCGGAGGAGTGGGAGCCGAGTCCATTCCAGATGGGGTGTGCCAGTAAGCAGCCTGCGGGGCTCAGATGGGGGCCCCACCTTAGAGGGAGAGCAGCCTGGTCTCTCACGCCAGAAGAGCCGCCGGACTCTACTCCCAGTTACCAGGGGGTTGTTTTCCTTTCCCACGTCACCAAGTACCTGGAGAGCCCAGTGGGACGTCCGACACCTACCCAGTTCTGACGCGGTCAAGACGTCGGAAACCACAGGGGCCAGGCCCAGTCATACCGGACTGACCCCACCCACCTTTGCTGCCAACCCCAAGTCCACGTGTCTCTGTGCTCCTGAGGGTCAGCATTGACTCAGAGGTGGCCATGACTCCCTCCTGGGGTTCAGCTCATTGTTGGAGGGCCTCGCAGGACTCAGAAAAAGATCTCACCGGCTAGATGGCCAGTTTATTACAAAAAGGATACAAGCCAGGAATAGCCAGATGGAGGGGTGCGTGGGGTGAGCCAAGGGGAAGGGCACTGGGCTTCCGTGCCTTCTCCAGCACCCCACTATTCCCAGCACCTCCCTGTGTTCCCCAGCTGATTGCTCTCCAAACCCCTCCCTTTTGGGTTTAATGGAGGTTTAGTGACAGAGGCACGATCTTTGTAACTGAATTCAATCTCGGGCCTCCCCAGGGGCCGGGGGTGTGACGGATAGTCTCAGCCCCCTCCCGCCATTCTTGGTCTATTCTCCTAAAGACCTGACCCTTCCCTTAGGTGCTTTCTAAAAGTCTTGAACTCAGGTATGGCTGAAGGGATTTGTGAGGGTTATCACAGCACCTTGATAGCTTTGATCATTTAGGAGATTCCAAGGGCTTTGGGGGCTCTGTGCTTGAAGTGGGGGCAGAGACCAAATGCATATAATTCCTAGACATCAAAATATCACAAGACATGGACTAGGGAAGGGGAGTGTGGTATCCAGAGGGCTTGGGGACTACGTCAGGGACTGAAGGAAGAGACATTAGGTGAAAGGAAAGTCACAGGTCAAAGAAGCTGGAGTCTAAGGTGCATCCTTCTGGAAACACAGGCCACTCTGAAGAGAGAGCTGAAAACTGAGGGCTAAACAGGTAAGTCCCTACTGCATTGATACAGGCAAAATGCAGTGATTTCCTTCCACCTGGGAAGAGCGGAGGGAGGGTGAGTCACCGTACCCCCTCAGCCCGGGGCCATCTTCACAGCGCTGTGTCCCGGTCTCTCCCTCCCGCCTCCTGCCTTGTCACGGGGAAAGCATCCTTTTCCTCTAGTGGAACAGCCTATGAAAGATCTGGCGAGCACTCTCCAAAATGGCCCATGTCATCAAAGACAAGGAAAGTCGGAGAAATATCTGTGAGTGTGACCAAGGAGCACCCAGGGACCCCAAAACTATTAAGGGGTGCATGCTCTAAACAGGGCCCAGTTGTCCACATGCACCAAGGCAAGAAATCACACTGTTAGTGTGAAAGACTTTTAACAGACTTGGTGTGCAGAGAGAGAGAGAAGAAAGGATTTCAAAAAACAGTTTACAGTAAAAGTCCAAATTGGGCATGTCCTCAGATTTGTGGCAAATGTCCAGTCACCGAAGCTCAAAAGCTTGCCACAAATCCAAGGCACTGTCGTGAGGGGAACCACAAAAGTGGGAGGAAACAGATCCCAGAGAGCTGGGGCAGGAGGAGAGACGGAGAGACTCACCATTCATAAAGTACCACCCAAGCTACCGTGGGGCGGAGATAGTGCCTGGCCATGGGCCAGGAGCAGCCTCGCCGCGTCTCGCACCCATGTGTCTCCTCTCCTGTGTCTCCTCCCTTCCTCCATCCCACTTGCATTTACATGTCCGCCTCAACCTCCCCAGCTCCCCCACCCAGGAGTCTGGCTCATGGCGGGCTGGGATTTGTAGTCCACGGGGCTGCATGCGAGTGGGGTGGGAAGATGGCACCTGCTCATGGCTGCGGCCTCTGCCCTTTCACAGAGATAGCTCTGCACCCTCCACGGCCAGGACGAGCCTGGAGGGCCACGAAAGCTATATGCGGGATGGCGTCTGGAGTCGAGAGAGGATGTTTGGTAAAAACTGAGGAACTCCAAATGCACGATGGGCCATTGGTTCATTAGTGGTAAGGAATGTGCCATGCGGGGTGCTGGGTAAAGGGGGTGCTGCGTTGCATTCACTCAATTTTCCCGTAAGTCTCGGATTCTTCTAAAAGAGTCCATCAAAGAATAATAATAATAATAATAATAATAAAAGCCCGTCCTGAGGGCCGGGGCCTTGACTGTCCCTCACCTGTCACCACCAGGTCCAAGGCTCTGCTGTGAGGGGACCAGCCGGTCTTTACCCTGTAGCGGCACTGGTAACGCCCCGCGGTGCTGGCATCCATGTGGTTAATGGTGAATTCGGCCTCCTCCTGCAATACCAGTTTCTTCTCCACCTGCGTGTATGTGGAGTTCCTCAGCACGTCCAGCTGGTACAGGTAAGATAAGTTAGTTCCCCGGCACAGGATCGTCACAGGCTCATTCCAGGGAATCGGAGAACTGGGTTTGGCAAATATAGCAGGAAGGGGAAGGTCCCCTGGAAGAAAACAGAGCCAGACTCAGGCGGCCTGCTGTGAGGAAGCCATGTTCTTTCCTTCTCTGTGGGGGGAGCACAGATAAATTAAGGTGTGATGGGTTTACAAGTCCTTCCTTTTTAAAACAGTTTTCTAAGGGCCTCCCCGGTGGCGCAGCAGTTGAGCGCTGGGTTGTGAAGCTGCCCGCAGCCTCTGCAATGCTGGTTCAATCCCCGGCCACCCGGCGAGGGTCCCACATGGCGCGCAGACCTCTCCTGCCGCCCGCTGCTCCCCTCAGCAGTGTACCTCGTCAGTCTGCCTGCTCTGCTCTCCCCTCTGGCTCTGGTGAATTCTCTCACCCTCCCGTGCCTCTGACTGCACCCAGTGCTTGTATAAATAAATAAATAAATCTTCTAAAATAAATAAATAAATTAGTTTTCTAGGGTGGTATTTTCTAATTGTGTTAATTAGATCTACAGCATAAAAAATATCATGTTAACCTTTTTTAAAGATATAGTTCAGTGACACGGTGCACACAGAGCTATAATCACCATATTGTGCAACCATTACCTCTACATATTTTCACAACTTTTTTATGACCACAAAAAACACCCTATAACCATTAAGTAGCAAGCCCGCCTCCCCCTCAACCTCTGCCACTTCCTCTGCCCTCACTCACGGGTAATTTCTAATCTACTTTTGGTCTCTATGAGTTGGCTTATTCTAGGGGCCTCCTATCAGTGGAGTAATAGAGTACTTCTCTTTCTGTGTCTGGCAATTCCACTGAGCATAATGCCCCAAAGTTTCAACTCAGCTGTCGTGCATGTTAGAATGTCCTTCCTTTTGATGGCTGAATAGTATTCCACTATATGTATGGGCCATATTTTGCTCATGTATTCATATCAGTGGATATCCGGGTTTTCTCCACCTGTTGGCTCTTGTGAATAATGCTGCTCTGAACCTTGGTGTACAAATATCTTTTGGTTCTCCACATGGAAGTGATCATATGATTTGCTTTTCAAGAACTGAAAAGCTTTTTGAGGAACCAAGTTCCTTCTTTTATGAATTAATATTTTCATCTTGAGGTGGCTTACGTACCATAACGTTAACCATTTTTAAAGTGCATGATTCAGTAGCGGCACAATTCTGTGCCACTCTTGCTGCCTGGTACGCTTCTCCACCCCTGCAGGAGACCCCACATCCATAACGTTCCTCCACCCTCTCTTCAGCCCCTAGCAATGGGGTGTGTGTGTGTGTGTGTGTGTGTCTGTGTGCGCGCGTGCACGCCCGCGCGTGCTCTGGTTTGTTGTAATCCCCAACAACACACTTCTGCTTTCACTCTACAGTGAGGGCGCCGAGGCTGGAGCAGCCAAGCCAGTCAATCAAAACCACAATGGAGCTCTGGTGGCACCTGGAAGCGGAGGTCGCCTCCCTCGGCTTCTGCGCCCCAACCTCGGCAGGTGGGGAGAGCTTCTCCGCTCCCATTCATTCACACCGAGAAGTTCTGAGCAGGTGATTTTGTGTTTCCAGCACTTCTGCTCCCACTTTTAACCCTGACACAGAAGCCAGCCACAGGAGACCACTCAGGAAACCCGCTGGCCCCTGGCCGGACGTGGCGACTATTTTAGACCTGATCGCAATGGGCTCAGCTGCAGCTCCGTGAAGGGGGTCAAAGGAGTTTGTCATCCCCGGGAGGATCGTTGTCAAGTAGACAAATGTGTGTAGGAGGCTGTGGAAGGAGGTGACTATGTTTACTCCTTGCACTTAGTATCACTACTCCCGTGGCCGCCCTGCATTTGTTGCTCCAAATCTATGCAGTCTCCAATTAAATCTCCAGCCAAGCTTGTTAAATCTCCAGTTAAACCAGGCACACTGTTAATCCACTGGCATGTCCTAATATGACCTGTTTTTTGACCAATTTTGCCTCCCAGGGGCCAAGATGACACTGCGTGGAGACATTTATGGTTGTCACAACTGGGGTGGCATCTAGTGGGTGGAGGCCACGGATTCTATAATGCACAGGACAGTCCCAAGCAAAGGGCTGTCTTGTCCCCAATGCCAGCAGAGCTGAGGTGGAGAAACCCTGCCCTAAACGGACCTGGTTAATACCTTGAAGGAAATGGTGAGGGAATGGAAGACAGTAATTTAAAAAATACACAAGCATACAATTGTAGAGCATGGGGTGTGGGTGGTACATTAAAGATGCAGAATTTGAGATCTGATGACAGGTGCGAGGTTTAGCTGATGCATGAGGGCCGGTGGGCATCACCTGGGTGATGTGGGTGGGCAGCTTGGGGCGCTGAGACAGAAGGGGCAGTGGGAAAGGACCCTGTGTTGATAAAGTGCAACAAGAGACAGAGAGTCTACATGAAGGTCAGCGTCGGGGAGGAGCAGCGACTAAGCAGGGGCATGAAGACCTGCGGGAGAAGCAGTGGGTGGGACTGGGGAGAACCCGGAGGTTGATAGGTGAATCTGAAGATAAACTGCTCAGGAGCTTTAAGAGGAAGCACAGTCTAATGATAATTCAGACCCAAATAAGCCAGGCTACACTCTGTAGAAGGAGCTGGGAGAGAAACGTGGATGGACTTGGCATTACACCCACTAGGGGCCACGGTGCGGCTGTGGAGAGGACTATGCAGCAGGGACAGAGCACCACGCAGTCCTCAGCACCGCGGCCTGGGAGCGTACACAGGAGGCACAGTAGGGCTGGGTGGGGGCAGTGTCCCTTTCAACGAAGCAAAGTGGTGGACTGGGGAGAATTCAGTTGTGAAATGAAGTACATGTGACATAGGGACGGGTATTGGACAATCCAAGATGGCCACCAACTTCCTCATCGCTGCCCTTGCTAATGCTCAGTAAAACACACAGACAGATGGACAGACCAAAGACTACAGCCACATCTGAGTGGGATGAGTTTGAGGCACCTGGAGAGACCAGAGCAAGGTAGAAATTAAGCGAGAAGAGCCAGGTAGAGACAGCTAGAAGGAGGAATGATGTTGGCATTCAGGTGGGCATTAGGCCACTGCCCCAACACTTCTATCCCAGAGCTCCCTGAGAATGTGAGGGGCTGGGGGAGACTTAGGGGAACACTCACCTTTCTGCGCCTGGATTTTCTGGCCCAGACAGAAGACTGGAAGGGAAAGATGCATGAATAGTCATTCCTCCACTTTCCACTGTCTGTGATTAATCACCTCACATATTTGCATTTATAGAGCTATTTCTAGAGCTTCTATGGCATAGCTGTCAGGTTCATCTTGTTTTACCTTTTAGATTGCAGCCCCCAAGATTCCCATCTATCAGGCCAGCATGGCACACCCTGAACAAAGAAGAGTAAGTTCCACAGATGACCTGGACTTGGGCGAACACAGTCCCAGATAGCCGGCCATCTCTCCATTAGGGGGACCAGGGTCTCCACAGCAGCCACAAAGACCTCTGGGTCCTCATGTGTAGAGGGCCTTGACTATTTTGGGATCCTCCCGATCTTCACCTCTAACCCACCTGAATTTTGGGATTCACCGAGACAGAGGAGGGTGGTATCTCTGGATGCCATCATTCTGACCCAGCCTCAGCCAGCCTGCCTTTACTGGAGCATACATGCAGGACAAAGGATTCTCACCGGACAGTAAATCCACAGGAAGTATGAGGTCAGAGTTCCTCCTTTCTTCACGATTGCCCCCCAAGGAATGGTTCTGGCAGCTTAGTTCTGGCAGTGCTGGTGGAGCCCAAGAGGAGACCAAGTGAGCATTTCCCCCTAGGCCTTGGTGACTGCTTTCCAAGACACCGAGTGTTTTAAAGCACTGAGCTTCTCTCATCTTTTGGAAGCCCAGTCAGCTCTTGCATTGGCGACTGGACTTTGTGCAAATTGAAGTTATTCCTTTTTTCATCATGTTTCATCAGTTTCCAGGAAATTGCACACATCTCAGTTTTCTTGTGACTTATGCCTTCTTTCTGTCCTTCTTCCTGTCTTCTGTTGTTGTTGTTGTTGTTGTTTTTTTACTTTGGTACCGTTGGTTTGTAACACTGTGTGTGATTCAGAGGTCCAGGTTCACACCTTCTACCATACCCACCATCAAATCACCCATAGCCCCCCACCACAACCCCTGGGTGCTCCTCTCTGCCCCCTCCCCTTCTAGAAGCCTCAATTCTGCAGCCATATTTCTAGGGTGTGTTTTGGTTGAGTTATGTCTGTTCCTTTGTTTTGTTTCTCTATAATCCACAGGAAATGAAATCATCCGGTATTTGTCTTTCTCCTAAAACTTACTTCACTTGACATAATCCCCTACAGTTCCATCCAGATGATGATAGTGCTTTGTTGTTGTTGTTGTTTTTTAATAATTGCTGAGTAGTCTTCCTTCCTCCCTCCATCCGTCTATCCCTACTTCCTGAGTTCCTTTCTTTTTTCCTTCTCACGTGAACGGTACTTGGGTAGAGAGAAAAGTAACACCTATGTTCTTAGTTGGGCATTAAAACGGGGAAAGGAGTAGTGGAAATATTCATGGATTCCGGAGGCGGAATGACCCAGTTAAAAGTATTATCATTGCAAATACTATCATTAAAGACCAGGCGACTTTCCAGGGAGCAATGAGCATTGCTTGGTTGCCTTCCAAGACCCACGCTGAGCCACATTTGTTAATGAGGAAACATAGTGTGGTATTAACTCACTACAACATGTGGGGTAAGTGTCTTGGCTTTATTCCCCATCCTTGTCTGAATGAGGAACACTAAAGTGACTAAGATTCTTTTCCACATCTCATTTTGCTCTTTTTTCAAACCTATTTTGGCTCTTTCATTTCAATGTCATTAGATTCCATTCTCTCCTGAGTTCCCATGAATAGGAGTGAGATCCTAAATTAGGCCCATGTGTAGGGTATTAAAAAACATTCTTGGGCCTCTAGGCTCAATCTTAACCCAGGAGTTAGCAAACTTTTCTGTAAATGACTAGAAAGTAAACATCACAGCCCTGGAAGAGAGGCCTGTGAGGTTGGCCCTGAGGTCTGAGCCAATTCTCTCCCCTCAGGCCCTGGCCACTTGAGCTCCTGAGCCTGAGTTTCCAGAACAAGGCTGGCAGCACCGCCCCACCAATCCCCCCCACCCCTCCCATGCCCCCCACTGACCGAGGCTGAGAAGAGCAGAGAGGACAGGGAGCGTGGTGCCCATTCCGAGCGCCCCTGCTGTGCAGCTGGAGGAGCCTCCGGGGTCTGAAGGACAGACACACAGCCTTGGCGGTCAGTGCTGATGGCCCCTGCCTGGCTCCGCAGCTGTGGCCCCCAGGAAGGGCTGCCCTCTCTGGGCCTGGCTCTGACTTCTCCAGGGCCCTCCAGGGCCTCTGCACGGCTCAGCCCAGGCGAGCTCTCCCCTGGGCCCCTCTGCCTGGCATGACCCCTGCTGGCGAGGCCGGGTTCCAGACTCGGCCCTGACAGGGTGACTCTCCCAGGGCACCCCACTTACGTCCTCAGCACCCCCACAACTGGATCTACTTTGTCTTCATCCATGACCAGCGTTCATGGTTCCCTCCCGCACTCACGGGGACGCACACGGGGAGAGCCGGGGCGCCATGGCCTGCTCTGTGGAAGGGAGGCCCCCTGAGAGGGGACAGGCCACAGGACGTCAGGAAGGACACGGCGCGTGTCGCTGACCACAGACGGGGAGCGGCGCCCAAAGAGCTTGCCTTGCATCCAGGTGGTTCGCGTGCCAGGCCGAGGGCCGAAGCTGACTTCCTGGAAATTGTTCAGACCAGCACAATGGATTCCGGATCACCCGCGAGGCCCAGACTCGCAGTGCAGCTTGGACCCCGTCCTCATGGGCCAAGTGATGAAATTCTGTATCCCGTTAAAGTTCTTTGTCATATTTTTGCTGTGGTTTCATATCGAAGCATCCAGGTCTTCACGTGTGATACACGAATGTGTCTGGTGTGTAGATTGGCTTAACTAAAAAAACAAGAGCCGGCCACACACAGGACCTCGTAAGGCAGCCCAGGAGAAACTCCTCCAGACCTGGCTGGACCCTGAGGACTGCTCAGACGGGGCTGAGCACATCCCCCTCCCCAGAGTGCTGCCTCCGCAGAGCCACTGAGTCCTGGGGTCTCTCAGGCCAGACCTGGGAGGGGCGACCCACCCCTCCTCATTCCCTGAAGCTCACCCAAGAGGAGAAGGGCCACAAGTGCTGGGGTGCGGGTGCTGCCTCCCATGATCCCCAGCAGCGCAGACAATGTGAGACCCTGGCAGGACAGACAGACCCAGGGTGTGACCAGTTCCCTGTCAGGTGACAAGAAGGGGTTCCCCGTGGGGCCTCACAGGAAGGGGAACAACAGCCCCTCTGTGGGGCCCTGCTCTGCTCTCAAGAGGGTGGTCCCCGGAGTCATGGGATCTGGGACCTCCCAGAGCAGATGTGAGACCCCGCAAGCCCCCAGGATCTCCCTGCCCGGTGGCAAACCCTCATCCAGAGCAGGCCGGGCCCAGGGCAGGAGCCGAGGATGCAGGAGGCCGCCTAAGACCAGGCGGGGCTGCTCCCCCCTGGCTCTGCCTTCCCAGCCCGGGCTGCGTTCAGCACAAGAGCCAGCCCCGGGGACTCTGAAACGCTCCTATTTCCTCCACGGCGTCGCTCCACACAAGGAAGCTGGGAGGTTGCTCTGGTGGGGGCGCGTCCCCGGCCGGCGGAGCGCGGTGCAGGCCTCTCCGCGCCCCGGCGCACCAGCCGGCGGGCGCCCCCGGCCCCGCTCACGCCTGCGTTTCGTTGCCCCGTGGAGCGGGCCAGGACCCCGCAGGGGACGCGGGGGCGGGATTCAGCCGAGGAGACCCGCCTGGGCAGCGGCTGCCGGGAGAACAAGGCCCGGCGCGGGCGAGGCCCGGCGGGGGCGGCAGGCAGGAGCGGAGGAGCCGCGGCTGGGCAGGGACCGTGGGCCGTGGGCGCGGGCGGAGCGCGGGGCGCTGGCGCCGGGGAGGCTGGTCCCCGCGCCCTCACAGGGAGAAGGAGGCCGGGCTGCCTGTGACACTGTCCGGTGACCCCCAGGAGGAGCCGCCGCCCCTCCCGTCCTGGGAATGTGGTTTCACTTCCCGGAGCTTCCGCTCTGCCTCGGGCTCTGCGGCTGCGGCACCTCGGGCTTCTCTCCGCAAGCGTCACCCCGGACCCCGACCCCGGCCCCAGAGGGACCGTGACTCCAGGCTGGGGCCAGGCCAGCTGGAGACCATAACGGGCTTAAACGACCCCGGGGGACAACACTGACCGTCCCCACCCCCCAGCCCCCACCCCTCCCCGTGGGCGTCCAGTCCTCCCGCTCTGAGCGAGTCCAGACAGGCGGCCCGCGCCGCAGAGGACAGATGTGGGGCGCGCACCCCCCGCAAGCAGAAGCGGGTCAGAAGCGCCCCGCATCCGGCCCGCAGCGCGGGAGCAGCATCCAGAGGTGCAGGGACGACCCCGAGGACGCTCACCTGGGCGGGAGCCGCCCCAGCCCAGGACACGGAGGCTGCTCTGCCCGGAGCCCAGCCAGGGTGTGGGGCCTGCGCTCTCCTCGCGTTTTCTTTTTCTTTCTTTTTTTTTAAAAAAAGATTTATTTATTTATGTATACAAGCACTGGGTACAGTCAGAAGCGCGGGAGGGCGAGAGAATTCACCAGAGCCAGAGCGGGGGGCAGAGCAGGCAGAAGGACCGAAGGACACTGCTGAGGGGGCAGCGGGCGGCAGGAGAGGTCTGCGCGCCATGCGGGACCCTCGCCAGCTGCCGGGGATCGAACTGGCTCTGCTGAGGCTGCAGACAGCCTGGCAACCCAGCGCCCAACGGCTGCGCCACCGGGGAGGCCTCCTCGCATTTTCTTTTACTAAAATCTGCCCACATCACGTTCAATTCACTTCAAAGACCCCATGGACTCACATTGGACTCACAATGTTAAGGTCTCCACGTGGATCGATTCCAGGCTATTTTCTTCACCCCAAAGGAACCCTGTGCCCCAGAAGCAGGCAGTCTCCAGCCCCTCCCCTCACAGCGTGAGTGTGACTGCAGCTCTGGGGTCCCCGTGTCTCTGGCTTCATGTAAACGTGATCACCACGTGTGAGGTTTACACAGAGCCCGTGGAAACAGGACTCTCCCCACTTGTGCTCATTGAGAAACTGCGTCTGTGTGTTGATAGAATGAGTGACATCGGCTCAATGATTCCTTTATTTTGAGTTAGAGCTGCAGCTTTGCTGTAGGTGACAGTGCACTCTCAAGAGGGAGTGCAGGCATGTTCTGAGGAGAACCTCCATGGTCAGTGTGTCCAGCAGCCTCCGTGTGCAATGACCACACAGTCCCCTGGGGGTAGAGCACACACTAGCTGTGACCCGGCAGCACCAGGGCGTCGAGGTGACTGTAGCAGGTTCCTTGGATGGGAGGGAGGGGCTGGGGGTGCCAGAGAGGATGCCGGGAGTGGTTCCAGATCCACTTCCTCCACATGAACCTGGTTTTTACCCCTTATTCACTTATTTACAGTGGATTTGGAGTTCTGGGGTATGGGGATGCAAATCAGGGAATGAGGAAATTAAAAATAAGGAAATAAGTTGACTAAACAGCAGAGAAAGCCAGGAAGGTGTATAAAGGGGAGAACCAAGGTGAGGCGGGGGCATCTCCCTGTCATGGGGTGATGGGACACAGCCAGGCCAGGAGAGCCAACATGGCAGGAGGGTGGCACCAGGAGGAATCCTCCTCTGCAGGGACCCCCAGACACTCTGTCCCCAAACACCGCCATGTTCTCTGCAGATTGTTCAAGCAAACAGGTCTCAGATTTTAGACTAGGATCTCCTGGGCACAGTCACCTCCAGGCTCTTGCGCTCTGGCCGGGGCCTTGTCCCCTCCCGGGCCCCCCTCCTGCCGCGTCTCGGGTCCTCCTGTGGCTGTGAAGAGCCTCCAAGAGCAGGACCCCCAGGGCCAGCAGGAGGAAGGCGGCCACGCCCAGGCGGAGGAGGTTCCCCAGCGTGTAGTCCTGGGGGCGCGGGGCTGGGCCTGGGGGAGAGAGACACGCAGGTCACGCAGGGGACCAGGGCACCTCCCGTCAGGACACGGGGTGAACGTGGGGAGGGTCCTTCTCCATCCGACCAGCCCCTCCCTGCGGGGCTGCAGACTCCTCTGCCCTGGCAACCCTGGTCCGCGCGTCCTGGCCCTGACTCTCCCTCCCGGGCGGACACTCGCAGCCGCAGCCCACGAGCAACGCGACTGTCCTGACCGGCGGGGACACGCAGAGGGACATGAGGCTGCGTGTCTGCCGCCTCAGCGTCGGGTCTGTGTGGCCCGTCTACGCGGGCCTCTGAGGGGTCCCAGTGACGGTCCCGAGGGAGACGGGACGGAGCCGATTCCTGGACAGAGGAGCCGAGAGGAGCCGGGACCAGACGGGCGAGGCTCAGGCTGCGGGACGGGCAGGTCCCCGGATGGTCTCAGCTGCTCTTCACCAAGGAAAGAGCCACCTTTGTGAGATGTGGGGTGCAGGGGAGAGGGGGGCTGAATATCTAGGGCTTCTGCCTTTGAAAGAAACCAGGGGGGACAGGACAGACCGCGGAGAATCACCTGCTCCTCCTCTTCCCTTGTCCCATATCTCCCACCCTCTCCTGGGCTGCGCCCACCTCAGTGGAGCCTCCGTTATTAGTGTCTCAAAGTCCCGAGGATAGGACCTGCGTGTCCGGCAGGGAGGACAGGGGAGAGCCTCACCTGAGACCAAGAGCTCCAGGGGCTCACTGGGGAGTGACCACACCTGGGGGGTGCTCCTGTAGTAACCATAGCACCTGAGCAGCCACCTGTGATTGGGGGTCACAGGGCCCACAGGAAACAGGGCCTGGAACTGCCCATTGGGGAGTTGCTGTGAGTCCAGGGTCCAGGAGGAATTGTGTTCTCCTTCCTCAGTCAGACGGAACCTGTCAAATCCCTGCCATGAGCCACACTGGAGGGTCACGTTCCCTCCTGAGGTCACCATGGGGCTTGGCAGGGCTGAGAGGCTGGGTATGGGGTAAGATCCTAGGAGAGGGGGAGACTGTGTGTTAAATGGGGACACTCCCACCACATCCCCCAGGGCTGGGCTGTGAGAAGGGAGACACCGTGAGAGCAGACCCCCTCCCTGAGTACAGAGCCTGAGGCTGGACCCAGAGTGTGCTCTCACCTGTCAGCACCACCAGCTCCAGGGGGTCACTGCGCTCTGACCAGCCAGCGGGGCTGTGATAGTCACAGAGATATCTCCCTGCATAGTCCCCTGTCACATGTCGGATGGGTAACTGGGCCTTGTCCCCCGGCTCCAGTGTGGTCCGTCCTTCCAAGGAGCCTGAGCTTCCCTCTTTATACACACGGAACTCCTGGGCTCCCAGGGTCCCCTCACACCAGATGGTCACAGGATCCCCCCAGAGGATCACAGAGCCTGGCTCAGCCCAGAGGGCGGGTTTGGGCAGCGCCCCTGGAAGGAATCAGAGGCTGGTCACAGGCAACCCCACCCCAGTTCCCAGCCCTCAGCCCAGACCCTCCCGCATGTCCCCTTCAACACCCCAGACCTGCTGTTCTCCAATGCCAGCTGCCCAGGGGTGGCCCCTCCCCAGTGAGGAGGTGGGACCCGGGACACCTGGGCACAGACTCACCTGCCTGCTCTGGGGTCCCGGGGCCCACACTCAGCCCTGGAAGAGAGTCCAGTGAGAGGCCTGACCCGAGTCCTGACAGAGCCTCCTCCCAGAGCCTCCCGAGTCCTGGGTCCCCTGACAGACCAGGCCTGGCCTTGGGGTCCCTCCAGACCAGGGCGCCCCTCCCTCCTCACACTCACCCAGGCAGAGCAGGGCCGTGAGGCTGGGGGTCATGGCGTCCTCTCCGTGACCTGGCTGTGCAGATGGAGGGCCCAGGGTGCCGGCAGGTTGGACAGACACATGGGTGGGGACACTGGGGACTGGTCCTCCTTGTCATGGGTTGTAAAGTCATCTCCCCACAGGAAGGGGAACTGTTCCCTTCCCCCTTTGGGCCCTCCTCTGGTTTCAGGGAAACACAAACAGAACTGGTGCCTCCTGAGGTACCCCATGTGGGAGGGAGACCCAAGGCGTGTCCTCCCTCAGAGCCTCCCCCTGGATGACCTCACCCTGCACCCGTCCACCAGCACATCCTGCGGTCTCACCCTAGGCAGGGTCCCCTGGCCCTGGAGTTCTCAGGGAGGGTCCCTGCTGCCTGCAGAGCTGAGGTCAGAAGGCCTCCGTTACTGTCCGCCTGAGCGTCAGGCCTGGACACGGATGACTGCCCAGGGGGACACTCAGGGACACAGGGGAGACTGGGCCTCTCCTGCCTGAGTGTGGCTTCTCTGTTCACAGCCCCTCAAGGCTTCTCTTTTTTCTGGCAGCAGCCTCCACCCTCACCTTCCTGGTGAGTCACTCTTGCGCCCCAGGCTGGCACCCCTCCCTTCCTGGGACTTTGGCCTAGAACTTAAGGGATGGGGAGTGGGTTAGAACCTGAGAAGTTTAAGGAAATTGCTGTTTAACTCACTGTTTGTCTACAGCCCTCCGTGTGTGAATTGAGGAGTCAATTCCCGGTCAGATTATTTTCCGATTTGTCAATGTGACTTCATTGTTTATTTACTAATCTGGAAGCTGATTTTTGTCTCTTGATGACCCTTAAGTTTTCTTACTGGCGTATGACCAAGTGTGGGTTTATTTGATGAAGAAAAACATCTGTAAGATTAAACCATACACAATAATTTATTCAAAGCGGATAAAGATATAAGATCTGAAACCATAAAACACTTAAAAGAAAACTCGGGGACACCCTCCAGAGCCGGCCCAGGGACACAGCCCAGCACAGTGGAAGGGATGCAGTTACAAATGACTGGTCTCTCAGATAAGAATTAAGAACTTTGTCTTCCCTCATCTCTTGCAATTCCCCCCTTATTTGTGACAAGTTTGCCTTCTTTATGACCCGGATCCCAGAGAAGCATTAGAAGTTTGTCTTCCCCTATTTCTTGCAATTACCCCTGGTTTGGCAGATTTCTCTTTATGGCCAGGCCTCTCAGATGAGCATTAACAAGTCCTCCTGCATTTCCAGGAAGAGGGAAGAAAAGCAAACTGGCGCCCACCTGTCTCCATCTACCCCATGCCCCTCCCCTTTGCAGACCCTAACCCATATCCACCTTTTTTTGTGTATAAAGACCCCTGCCCTCTGCCAAAGAGCAGGCCGGTTGTCTCTCAGACATGAGCCGGCTGCCCTCCTCATCTGAAGACAAATTAAACCACTTTCCTTTGCCTCAAACTCTTTTTCCTTTTGTTGGCTGAGGGAAACTGAGGCCGGCGTTCGGTATCAGAAGCAGATACACCAGCGGCTTTGGCGGAGGAAAGGAAGGAAACCTAAAGGAGGCATCACAAGACTGGAAGCCGACTCACACAGGAGGTGTGTAGGCGGGATGAGCAACAGCCATCAACCCGGGTACAGAAACCAACACCCTTGGGCATCAACTCCCAGATCAGGAGGCGCAACACCAGGCAGGCATCGGACTGCTGTAGGGGGTGTGAGAACACAGACCATCCACCCACGAAGAGGAGCCCCTCCCTACCGGAAGAAGATGATAAAACCTGGCACTGCCCCCACAAAGGGGCGGCGTCCGTCTGCCCCACTGTGACTGTGCAGCCGTCCCTCTGCCCTCCATGACTGTGCAGACGCTTGCTTTCACCACCTCTCTCCTCCGCAGGGCAGCGGCCTCCCGGTTGCCCGTGCCCCGTACCCTGCTGGGGCTTCTCAGCACTGACCTCCCTCAGCAGAGGCCTCTCTGCTCAAGGCCGTCCGCCTGCGACCATGCAGGCCTCTCTCAGCAAACCTCTCCCTCTCGGGCAGCTCTTCCTGCCCGCTTGTGTCTATGCAAGTGTCCTTTACTTTTCTGTCCCTTTTCTAATAACCTGCTCTTTAATATAACCAACATCTCTGTCTCGTGGAGAAACTTGCCTGGGAAACGCCGCGTGCTGCTGAAAGGGGAGCTCTGGGGACACCTTTCCCAGAGGGAACCCACGGACCCCGCACTCCAAACTCACCGCCTCCAAAAACGAAATTAGGGTGAAGTAAACTAAATTTTTTAAAGATTTATTTTATTTAATTATGCATACAAGAACCAGGGTGCAGGCCAGAGATGTGGGAGGTGAGAGAATTCACCAGAGACAGAGTGGGGAGCAGAACAGGCAGGTCCACTGAAACACAGTGCTGAGGGGAGTAGCAGGAGACAGGAGAGGTCAGTTCCCTGGCCTGGGATCAAACTCGTGCGGTGGAGAGCTTCACAGTGCCGAGCCTTAACCCCATAGGCCATCAAGTAGGTCCTGAACTAAAAACTTTTTGACTAAAAGAAAACCACAGGAACAAAGAAGAGCCTACCGCATGTGACAAGGGGGTCATTCCAAAACATACACCCCAATCGAAGATGGGCAGATGTCTAGATAGACACGTCTATTTCTTAGGGTGAAGGAATTTGAATAGAGTTGGAGTGGAGAGAGAGAGAGAGGATTTCAAGTAACAGTTTCCCAACAAAACACCAAATGTCGCAGGGAATGCCAGGCTCGGCCTGACGCGCGGCGCTGAGGCCAGAAAGTGGCCCCAGGTCTGAGGCCTCCTGGCGGGGACCACAGTAAAGACCCCAGAGGCAGCCCAGAGACGGCCGGAGAGACTCAGAATTCAAAATACGCTCCATCACCCAGCTTGGGGGCAGGATAACAGCTGCGGGTGTCCCGCCAGGACCAGGAGAGCCCCCGACGTGGCCTCACCCCTGCGCCTCCTCCCAGAGTCTCCTCCCAGGGTCTCTCCATGTTCCCCCACTGGGAACAACTGTCCGGCTTCTCTGATCATAAGGGAGACGCGGATCCAGCCACAGGGGGCGCCGCCGCAGCCTGGGGGCGCGGAGGCACCAGATGGTGGTGGGGACTTGAGGAAGAAGTTTTCACCTGCTATGGCCAGGATGCGAGCGCTGCCGCGGCCACGATCACCGCAGGGAGAGTTCTTCAGGAAATAAAAATGGAAATTCCATATCATCTAGCATTCCTCTCTTAGCTATTTGCCCTATAAATTAATTAATAAATAATTAGAAAATGGTGCTACAAAAAGACTCACACACTCCTAAGTCCAGAGCCGCACTGTCCGGAATGACCAAGGCATGGACCCACCCAAAGGTCATAAAGATTCATGGGTCCGCCTCTGGGCCCTCCTGTGGCTGTGAAGAGCCTCCAAGAGCAGGACCCCCAGGACCAGCAGGAGGAAGGCGGCCACGCCCAGGCGGAGGAGGTTCCCCAGCGTGTAGTCCCCGGGGGGCCGGGCTGGGCCTGGGGGAGAAAGACACACAGAGGTCAGAGCACAACACACCACACCCCCGTGTCTGCCTGACAAATCTGACAAGCTGGTAACTGGCAACAGGAATAGCGGGAAATACCAGGTGACACTGAGGTGGGTCCTGACCCCGAGCAGGACTCATGGAGGATGGCTGGAGGGGGAGCTGATCTGGCTGCAACTGGTCACATGGAAATCCAGGGGGAGCCCTGCTTGCTCCTCCCCCTGACAATGACAACCGCTGTTCCTAGAAACCGGACGTGACTGCAGTGAACCGAAGACCCCGGATGGAACTTCTGGACCTACTTTCACAGGAAGTCACTGACTTGGAAATTCAGAGCTTACTGAGTCTAGACATCCAGGATGCACTGGACTTGGATGAGAGGACAATGATTCCCGATATGGATAAGTTTTAACAACGAGCTCAGTGCCAGAAGGTTCAGCCAATTCCGCTCCGCTCATGCCTCCTGGGGCGACCACAGCCCCTGACCTGAGTGAGCCCCTCCTGCTCCCGCGTGGGCTGATCCACACATGCAAAGGACCAGGACCCCGGGCTCAGCACCAAATAGCGCTGAGACGCCTGCACTGTCCCATGTCAGCTGGGCTGTTGTCGGGTCCTCCACAGCCCCCAGCAGGCACCGTGACCCCAACAAGGCTGAGTCACACCCTCCCTAAAGTGCCACCTCCATGCCCAGTCTGGTGGGAACACCCTTCTGTGAGAGGGAACCTGAACAAGGAGAAGCTGGGATCCAGCCGAGGATGGAGGCACATGTCTCCTCCTGCCAAGAGGCCTCTGCTGCCCGCAGCCTGAGTGTCCCGAGGGTGCAGGGCTGCAGACAAATGACGCTGGACAGGGACAGGACAGGGCGAGGCTCCAGTCTCCTGCCTCCATCTCCCTCCTCTACGGCTGCTCCTCTCCCCCTGCCCACGCCAGTCATGGCTGTGACCTTGGGCGCGGGGGGCGGGGGTGGGCAGGAAGGCAGGAGGGGGTTAGAGTCACTGTCTTTCCCACCCTCTGTGGCCCCATAACCTGTGGATCCCCCCCTGGATGTGTCTTCCTTCCGACGCTCTAGAAACTACTGGAAAAGGATGAGGCTGAAGGCCTGGACCCTCCATGGACATGGGGTGGGGCCTCCTCACCTGAGACCTGGAGCCGCAGGGGGTCACTGGGGTGTGACAGCAGGAAGGGGGAGGCGCTGTGTGAGCTGTAGCACCTGTAGGTGCCCCCGTGGGCTGAGGTCACAGCCCTGAAGGTGAAGAGGGCCTGAGAGGGGGCAGCTGTGTCCTGCAGACGCAGGCGCTGGGGGGACGCAGGCGACCCCTCCTTGGAGAGGTAGAAGGTGTCCGAGCGGGCGTCAGAGCGACACTGCAGGGTCACGTCCTCCCCCGGGGACACGGTGGGCCCGGGCTGGGCTGAGAGGGAGGGTTTCGTGTCCATTCCTGGGGGGAGGTTTGGCATTAGAGACCCCCCCAACCCCACACCCCTGACCCTGCGCCGAGGGCCCCTGTCCTGCTCCGGGGCCTCTGGGACGCCTGGTCCTCCACTCCTGTGTGGGTCTCTCTATGTCTGTGCCCCTCACCCCCTTTCTCGCTCGCGCTCCCTCGACCATTGTCCATCTCGGCCTCTGCCAGGACCCTCCCCCTGGACACGCCACCCCCAAGGTGACCTGGGCCCGGGGCCTCAACAGCCCATCAGGACCCAGGGCGGCTCCTCACCTGCGATCAGGATGTCCAGGGGGGCGCTGGGGGCCGACCACGCGTGGGAGAGGTTGTGTCCCCTGTAGCACCTGTACTGGCCCCCGTGGGTGCGGGCGACAGGGCCCAGGGGGAAGTCGGGGCTGTGCTGCCCGTCCAGACGCTGGGGGCCCATGTGCCCCTCGTCCTTGGTCAGAGCGAACCTGCCAAAGCCGGCCCCCGAGCCGCACCGCAGGGTCAGGTTGTGTCCAGACAGCACCAGGGGGCCCGGCTGCGCCGACAGGGAGGGCTCCCCATATGCTCCTGGGGACATGGGGACAGTGGCACCGAGGGTCACCCCACATTGCCTATTGGGCAGCGGTGAGTTCTCACCGTCCCTCCCACACCCCTGCGCTGTGATCTGGACCCAGGAGTCCACGTCACTGGGCCCCACGTCACCCCCGGCTCCCCTGGACACGGGCTTAGCCAGTCCCTGGGGTGCAGCCTCACCTGTGACCTGGAGATGCAGAGGGGCGCTGGGCGCGGACCACAGGCCGGGGTAGGACATGGAATTATGGTAACATCTGTAGGTGCCCGCATGGGAAGGGCTCGAGGGGCCCAAGGGGAAGAGGGCCTGGTGTCTCCCCTGAAGGTACCAAGACCCGCTCTTGGGTTGGGGCAGGTCAGCGCCTCCCTCCTTCAGCAGATAGAAAGTGCCGGATGTGCCCTGTGATGTGCCCTGTGAGCTGCAGGCGAGGGTCACGTTCCCTCCTGCGGCCACCACAGGGCTGGGCTGGGCTGAGAGGGAGGGTACAGGGTACGCTCCTGAGGAAGAAGGAGGAAGCTGTGGAAAGGGGCCCAGCACCCCGATGTCTCGGGTATAGACATGAGGGGGGAGGTCCCCTGAGCCCACACTCCTTCCCTTCTGCTGGTGAAGGGGCCCGAGAAGGGAAGACACCCGGCTCCTTCTTACCTGTCACTTTCAGGACCAGGTAATTGCTCCGCTTTGACCTGCCATGGCGGCTTCGATAATGACACCAGTACGATCCCTCCCAGCCGGCATCCATAGATTCGATGAGGAAACTGACCCTGTTCCTGAAGTTCTGAGGTGTCTTAATCTCGATTCGAGAGCCCCCCTCTCTGTGCAGACAGTAGACCTGCGCCTGCTGAGACCCCTGACACCAGAGGGTCACAGGGCTCCCCACGGGGACCACGGGGCCTGGGTCGGCCCAGATGGCGGGTTTGGGGAGGGTCCCTGCAAAGGAGTCCGGTGAGTGTCGGGCTGCCTCTCCCTCAGTTTCCCCAGCCGTCACTCAGCCCCTCCAGGCAGGTCCCATCGCCCACACCACTGTGCTCCCCCCACTGTCCGGGGGCCCTGGGCTGAGGCAGGAGGTGTGGGGAGCACTCACCTGCCTGGACCTGGTCCCGTGGGCCCCGACACAGCCCTGGAAGAGAGGCCTGTGAGATGCATCCCCCCATGGGGAGCTCCTGGTTGGGCCCTGAGGGCTGCTCAGATCAGGGGCTGAGCACATCCTCCCTCCCCAGAGAGCTGCCCTCACAGAGCCCCTGAATCCTGGTGTCTCTCAGGTCAGACTCACCCCCTGTTTTCCCCTGAAGCTCACCCAGGAAGAGAAGGGCTGTGAGGATCGGGGTGGGGGTGCTGCCTCCCATGGCCCCCAGTGGTGTAGACGATGAGAGTCCACAGAGCCCGGCAGGGCAGACAGATCCTGGCAGGACAGGCACCCCCAGAAGGTGTGACCAGTTCTATGTCATGTGACAAGGCGGGGGTTCCTCATCTGCGGTCTCACAGGAAGGGGAACAGTCCTTGAGGGGCCTCCCACTGATTTTCCTGAGGGGCACGGGGAGACGGGAGCTCTGGGCCTCCCAGAGAGTTGTGGGTCCAGCAGACCCCACACGCCCCGCCTCTGACAGGCTGTCCTGGGAGGGCCCTGGCCAGGGCGGAGGCGAGCGGGCGGCAGCGTTGACCCGAGACCATCTCAGCTCCGTCTGACTCTGCCTTGCAGAACCCCGCGAGTGCTGCCTCACTTTCCGTCCTGCCCCTTGTGGGCACGTCTTCCCTCCAGGCGATCGCCCCATGTTGGCGCGTCCCGATGGAGACCCGGGGTGTAGCTGCGGGCCCTGCCCTGGACGCCTCAGCTGCGGGTGGCAAGTGTGGTGAGAATGTCTGTGCAGGGGACCCTCTGCCCGCACTCTACGGCTCCACAGGCAATGGAAGAACGCGACGGTGAGACTCGGTGGGAAGTGCGTCTCCCCCCAGTGGCGGCGTGGGGACCTTCTGAGAAGGGGAGACCAGGATTAGAGGGGAGACAGGCGTGGGGGCGTGGTGTCCTCTGCAGGGAACCTGGGGACCCTAAGAACTGCAGCACAGGGCCTGGGCCTGGCGTCAGCGGCCTGCACACCTTGTCAGACGCGCCCCTCCAGACGCAGACGTCTTCAGCGACGAGTCTGAGCTACTGCTGAGGCCGGGCCCTGCGCACAGCAGGAGACACCTGTGGACAGTACCAGGGACAGACCCAACGGCCCCTGCGCCGGCAGCGGTGGGCTCCTCCTGCAGCCCCTGCAGAATCCCTGCCCCGGGCAGCAGGCCCGCGGGACACCGGGGCGGGGACTCGCCGTCATCGTCACGGCTGCTGGCCAAGGGGCCGACGGGCCTGGGTCAGTGAGGAGCGGCCTGAGGACCCGCAGTGTGGTCGTGGCTCAGGGCGTGCCTGAGGTGGAGGCTGGGGTGAGTGTGGGGTGTGGGGGGCCGTCCGTGCTTGGTCAGGGACTTGGGCTCGACCTGGGCATTGGACCCGCGCAAGAGCAGTGGAGACTCTGTGTGTATTTAGGGGCGGTGGGGCCCACAGGAAGGCTCTGAGGGGAGACCCACAGCAGACAAGGCTGAAATCATGAGAGGAAAATCCTTCATCAGTGAACGCGGCCCTGTCTTAGGAAACAACAAGACTGAGGTGGGGGTGCCTGAACCCCAGCTGTGGCTGCGGGGTGGGCCAGGCCTGGAAGGAGGGCGGGCAGGTGGGTGCTCCTGGCATGTGAGCTGGGAGGGGGCAGGGATGGGGCTCTTCCCGGGGCCTTGCCGACCTGGGGTGCCAAGGGGGCCCTCACAGGAGGAGACTGGATGAGAAAAGGGGGTTGCGGATGTTGGAAGCTGGTGCTGACCACAGAGCAGCCGTCCCTCCCGGCCTGGCGCGCGGAGCTTCTCCACCCCCGTCCTCCCTGACTTCCCGGAGTCTCAGCACCTCTGTCCGTCACATCGTCCAGGGCTCTGCCTCGTCGCATCCGCCCGCCTCTCCCCGACCCGACCCTCTGGGGTGCGCGGAGGGTGTCCCAGCGTGGCCGACGCAGTCGCTGGGCAGTCACGGGGCCTCCTTCGGGTGTTTGCCGTCGCCCCTTCCGGCGCCCGGGCCCGTCCTCCTGTCTGCCGGGACGGACTCTGAAGGGGCGCCGGACTGTCTTTAGGCAATGAAGCGGAGCTCACAAATAAATAAACACAAATTTAAAGTATAACTTATTTAGAAAAGAAAAATGACTTTTTGCATTTTTCTTTGCTCTTCTTTTTCTTTGCGATTCCTTTCTCTTGGCCTTACGGCAGCGGGAGTCGTCCACGAGGCGACGTCTGCTGGAAACGTGTGTGGCTGCTCGGGGCTCTCCCCCGGCTCGGAGCGGCAGGGAGCGGCACGCAGCGCGCTAGAGACGAAAAACACGGCGTCACCGAGCCTGCCCGGGAAGCGAGAGTCTCGGGTCACCTGATGCATGGAAATCTGGAGGGACCTGAGCTCACCCCACCGCGGCTCCATTTCCAGGTGGGCTCACCCTTCCCCTCAGCCTCGCCCATATTTGCTTTTCTTTTCTTCTTTGACGGCGAACACATTCATAGCCGAGGTAGCCCGTTGGGCTCCGTTCACACCACCCTGAGTTCGTGGGAGACATCGAAATCACCCGGGACCTGCTGCACCTCCATCCTCTCTCTTGGCAGGTGTGAGCAGGGGTTGAGCTTGGCCACCTCAAGGTCACAGAGCCCTCTGCCCCGGGCCCAGCAGCAGGGCACTTGGTGACTCAGTAGCGCCCAGGCCCGCTGTCCTCGGCCGCCCCAAGGGACTCTCAGCGGGCTTTGGGGTCAGAGCTGAGGAGCTGGAGACTCCACTACGGCATCACGGCGTGGGGTGACTAGAGAGGGAGAAACTGAGTCCCAGGAAGGCGCACTGAGCCCGACAGTGTGTGGGGCATGGCCCCAGCCTTCCGGGTGGGATGAGGCCGATTCACAGAACGGGACAGGAGGGGAGCCATGGAGCTGATGCAGCGTGGTGGGGAGGGGAGTCCCACGTTTAATGACAGGAGGGTCCAGACCTTCACCTGCTCACAGCAAGGTCCCTCCACCTCCCAGGGACCCACAGACAGTCCCCGCGCTGCCCAGACCAGCTTCTGGCCTCCAGCACAGTCACCTCCAGGCTCATGGGCTCTGGCCGGGGCCTTGTCCCCTCCCGGGCCCCCCTCCCGCCGCGTCTCGGGTCCTCCTGTGGCTGTGAAGAGCCTCCAAGAGCAGGACCCCCAGGGCCAGCAGGAGGAAGGCGGCCATGCCCAGGCGGATGAGGTTCCCCAGCGTGTAGTCCTGGGGGCGCAGGGCTGGGCCTGGGGGAGAAACACATGCAGGTCACACAGGGGACCAGGGGACCTCCCGTCAGGACACGGGGTGAATGTGGGGAGGGTGGGGCTGAATATCTAGGGCTTCTACCTTTGAAAGAGACCAGGGGGCACAGGACAGACCGCGGAGAATCACCTGCTCCTCCTCTTCCCTTGTCCCGTATCTGCCACCCTCTCCTGGGCTACGCCCACCTCTGTGGAGCCCCCGGGGCCTCTGGTATTAGTGTCTCAAAGTCCCGAGGACAGGACCTGAGTGCCCTGCAGGGAGGACAGGGGAGAGCCTCACCTGAGACCAGGAGCTCCAGGGGCTCACTAGGGAGTGACCACACCTGGGCGGTGCTGTTGTAGTAGCCATAGCACCTGAGCAGCCACCTGTGATTGGGGGTCACAGGGCCCACAGGAAACAGGGCCTGGAACTGCCCATTGGGGAGTCGCTGTGAGTCCAGGGTCCAGGAGAAATTGTGTTCTCCTTCCTCAGTCAGATGGAACCTGTCAAATCCCTGCCATGAGCCACACTGGAGGGTCACGTTCCCTCCTGAGGTCACCATGGGGCTCGGCAGGGCTGAGAGGCTGGGTTTGTGGTAAGATCCTAGCAGAGGAGGAGACAATGTATTAAATGGGGACACTCCCACCACATCCCCCAGGGCTGGGCTGTGAGGGGAGAGACACCCCGACAGTAGGCCCCCTCCCTGAGAGCAGAGACTGAGGCTGGACCCCTGAGTGTGTTCTCACCTGTCACCATCACCAGCTTCAGGGGGTCACTGTGCTCTGACCAGCCAGCGGGGCTGCCATAATCACAGTGATATCACCCTGCATAGTCCACTGTCAGGTGTGGGATGCGGAACGGGGCCTTGTCCCCGGGCATCAGTGGGGTCCCTCTGTCCCAGGGCACAGAGCTTCCCTCCTTATACAGACGGAACTCCTGGGCCCCCAGGGTCCCCTGACACCAGATGGTCACAGGTTCCCCCCAGGGGATCAGAGAGCCTGGCTCAGCCCAGAGGGTGGGTTTGGGCAGGGCCCCTGGAAGGAATCAGAGGCTGGTCACGGGCATCCCCACCCCAGTTCCCAGGCCCCAGCCCAGAACCTCCCAGACATCCCCTCCATCACCCTAGACCTGCTGTTCTCCACCCATCACCCTAGATGTCCCCTCCATCACCCCAGAACTGCTGTCTCCACCCCCAGCTGCCCAGGGGTGGCCCCTCCCCAGTGAGGAGGCAGGACCCGGGACACCTGAGCACAGACTCACCTGCCTGCTCTGGGGTCCCGGGGCCCACACTCAGCCCTGGAAGAGAGTCCAGTGAGAGGCCTGCCCCGAGTCCTGACAGAGCCTCCTCCCGGAGCCTCCCGAGTCCTGGGTCCCCTGACAGACCAGGCCTGCCATGGGGTCCCTCCAGACCAGGGCGCCCTCCCTCTTCACACTCACCCAGGCAGAGCAGGGCCGTGAGGCTGGGGGTCATGGCGTCCTCTCTGTGAGCTGGCTGTGGGGATGGAGGGTCCAGGGTGCCGGCAGGAGGGACACACAGAGTGGGGACACCGAACACTGGTCCTTCCTGTCACGGGTTGTCAAGTCATCTCCCACAGGAAGAGGAACAGTTACAGGGCAGGGAGAGGGGCAGCCCAAACCCTGCAAACCTGCCTATTCTAAATGGGTTCTGCCCTCCGCCGCATCAACACAAAGCATATGAGACTTTAATGGGAAGGAACTTCCATACAATTAGGAAACAAGACAGGAAAGGCAAAGAATCTAGTTTCTAAATCAAGCACCCAAAGTTGCCCGTCCCCTCGTGGATAAAACTCCATTCAGATGGCATTGGCCCAGAGCAAGGCCCCAAAGCCTGCCACAGTCTAAAGCATCTTCCAGTGGGGACCCACAGAAAAGGGTCAGAAACAACCAGACAAGCCCAGAAGGAAAAGAGCAAAATCAAGATAAAAGCTGCCATTGTCACCTCCCCACGGGTCTCACCCACATCTGTGTCACCCAGTCCACGACCAAAAGACAAGCGCAGTTTCTTCATGTGTCTCTAGGCTCCATGCGCCTCCTCCAGGTCTCCTTCTGGCTCCATCCTGCTTCCTTCCTTCCTCAGTCTCCTCTGCAGCTTCTTCTCTCCCTGCTCAGCTCCACCCTCCCTTGGGTGGGGCAGAAAACCTGGAACCTCCCCCTTTCCTGGGGACCCCCCTGTCACAGAACTGTCCTCAGGGCCCAGCTCTGGTTCATGGGAACAGCAAATAGAACTGGTGTCTCCTGAGATGGCCCTTCCTGGGAAGGGAGACCCAGGACACGTCCTCCCTCAGAGCCTCCCCCTGGGTGTCTTCACCCTCTACCCGTCCATCAGCACAACCTGTGGTCTCACTCTGGACAGGGTCCCCAGTCCCTGGAGTTGCTCAGGGAGGGACCCTGCTGCCTGCAGAGCTGAGGTCATGAGGCCCTTGTTACCATGCACCTGAGTGTCAGGCCAGGTCACGGATGACTGCCCAGGGGGACACTCAGGGACACAGGGGACACTGGGCCTCTCCTGCCTGAGTGTGGCTTCTCTGTTCACAGTCCCTCATGGCTTCTTTTTCTTGCAGCAGCTCCACCCTCACCATCCTGGGGAAGTCACTCCTGCCCCCTGGGGCTGACGCCCCTCCCTTCCTGGGACTTTGGCCTAAAATTTATGGGACAGCCAGTGGGTTAGAACCTGAGCAGTTTAGGGAAATTGTCCTTTAAATCATTGTTTGTCTACAACCCACTCACCGAGTGAAGTGAGCACATTCATGGTCAGATTTCTTTCCCATTTGTCAATGTTACCTCATTGTTTATTTGCTAGATTGGAAGCTAATTTTTGTCTCTTGGTCACCTTTAAGTTTTCTTACTGGCCTATGACCAAGTGTGGGTTTGTTTGACGAAGAAAAACATCTGTAAGATGAATCCACACACAATAATATATTCAAAGTGGATTAAAGATGTAAGAACCGAAACCATAAAACACTTCAAAGTAAACATGGCGACACCCTCCAGGACAGCCCAGAGCCGGCCCCAGGGACACAGCCCAGCAGCAAGGGCAAGGGGAGCAGATAAACCAGCAGGATGAAGTAAACCAGAAACTTTCTGAACCTCAAAGAGAATCACGGAGATAAAGAGGAGCCTGCAGAATGGTGGACGATAGATCCCAGCACATATGGGCTAATCCCTAATATACACCCCAATCCAAAATGGGCAGATGCCTAGATAGGCAATTTTCATTTATTTCTTTAGTGTGAAGGATTTTAAATGGAATTGGAGTGGGGGGGGGAGAGAGAGAGAAAGATTCAAATAATAGTTTCTAATAGAACTCCAAATATGGCAGTGAATGCCAGGCTCAGCCCGAAGTGTGGTGCTGAGGCCAGAAAGCTTGACCCAGGTCTGAGGCCCCTCCTGGCGGGAACCACAGTAAAGACCCCAGGGACAGCCCCGAGAGCTGAGGGAGAGACACAGTCAGAGACGGAAGACGGGGATGCAAGAGCTGCCACCTCCATGGGAACCAGATGGAAAGTTCTTAAGGAAGTAAAAATGGAAATTCCATCATTTGCCAAAAAGAAAAACCGCTACAAACAGGCTCACGCACTCTGAAGTCCAGAGCAGCTGCTGGAAAGGCCAAGGCGTGACCCACCGTGACGCCCGCCAACAGCCTGATGGCTACAGACGTGGCGGGGAAGTGCTCAGCGGCATATGACGCAGCTATTAAGCAGATGAAGCAGCGCCTTTAGGAACAGAACGGATGGAGCTGGCAGCGCTGCACTAAGTGAGTAAGTCAGATGGGAAAGTCATACGGGAGATCTACCCGAACTGCGAAACAGAATGACAAAACAAGCAAAGAGACAAAACGCACACTCTCAAATGACAGCAAAAAAAAAAAAAATCTTGTCCAAAGTGAAAAAAATGTGCTGGTTCCCGAGGGACAGTGGGAGGAAGAAGGGGTGGAGGCGTGGGCGGGCACTGGCTCAGGTGGTTGGTGGGGGAGAGAGGGATGTGTGCACAGGGGGAAGAGTAGATGCACCCCCAAAGTCATCATAATGAGCTGTAGCACGTTGGCCACAGAGGACAGTGTGGTCAGATAAACTACAGTGTGTTGACAGCGTGACTGGATGGAGAGAAACACAAGCTCCCCTTCAGACGCTGCTATAAACTATCTCATGAGGTCAAAATAGTGAAGTGTCTAGTAGGACAGCACGTGTGTGAAAACCAGGGGAGGGAGAGGGTCCTCAGGAATGTCCTCCTGGATCCTCGATGCCTCGGCCCTGTGATCCTCTTTCTGTGAGGAGAATAAGAAGCCACCGTGGTGTTTGCCTCTGCAAAGGGCCGCTGGGTGACGGGGAAAAGCAGACAGACCTTTCATGGAGTAACCGAACTTGTACAGAGTCCAGCACATAGACCTGTACAAAATCTAAGCACAAAGCTTAAAGAAGTGGGCTAATTCTTTTAAAAAGGTTCGGGTTTATCTTCCATACTGCTTTGAATAACCGAATAGAGAAATACGCTGGACTAGAGTTGATTTTGTTTGATGATTTCAATTTTCAGTGCAGTTCATTTAGTCGTTCAAAGGTCATAAAAATTCATGGGTCCGCCTGTGGGTCCTCTGGGCCCACCTCCTGCCACATCTCGGGCCCTCCTGTGGCTGTGAAGAGCCTCCAAGAGCAGGACCCCCAGGACCAGCAGGAGGAAGGCGGCCACGCCCAGGCGGATGAGGTTCCCCATAGTGTAGTCCCCGGGGGGCCGGGCTGGGCCTGGGGAGAAAGACACACGAGGTCAGAACACAACACACCACACCCCGGTGTCTGCCTGACAAATCTGACAAGCTGGTAACTGGCAACAGGAATAGCGGGAAACACCAGGGAACACTGAGGTGGGTCCTGACCCCGAGCAGGACTCATGGAGGATGGCTGGAGGGGGAGCTGATCTGGCTGCAACTGGTCACATGGAAATCCAGGGGGAGCCCTGCTTGCTCCTCCCCCTGACAATGACAACCACTGTTCCTAGAAACCGGACGTGCCTGCAGTGAACCGAAGACCCCGGATGGAACTTCTGGACCTACTTTCACAGGAAGTCACAGACTTGGAAATTCAGAGCTTACTGAGTCTAGACATCCAGGATGCACTTGACTTGGATGAGAGGACAATGATTCCCGATATGGATAAGTTTTAACAACGAGCTCAGTGCCAGAAGGTTCAGCCAATTCCTGCTCCGCTCATGCCTCCTGGGGCGACCACAGCCCCTGACCTGAGTGAGCCCCTCCTGCTCCCACGTGGGTCGATCCACACGTCATGGGGCCGGGGCTCCAGGCTCAGCACCAAATAGCGCTGACACACCTGCGCTGTCCCATGTCAGCTGGGCTGTTGTCGGGTCCTCCACAGCGCCCAGCAGGCACCGTGACCCCAGTAATGATGAGTCACACCCTCCATAAAGTGCCACCTCCATGCCCAGCCTGTGTGGGAACACCCTTCTGTGAGAGGGAATGTGAACAGGAGAAGCTGGGACCCCGCCCAGGATAGGGTCACTCATCCTGTCTCCTTGTGCCGAGAGGCCTCTGCTGCCCACAGCGTGAGTTTGTCCCGAGGCTGCGGGGCTTCAAACTAACGACGCTGGACAGGGACAGGACAGGGCGGGGCTCTGAGTCTCCTGCCTCTACTCCCTCCTCTGTGGCTGCTCCTCTCCCTCGTCCTCTCCCCCTGCAAATTCCAGCCCCTCGTGGGAGGGGTGTAAGGCAGGAGGGGGTGAGAGTCACTGTCTTTCCCACTCTCTGTGGCTCCATGACCCGGGGTTCCCCTCCCAGATGCGTCTCCTTCCAAAGCTCCAGAGGCTACTGGAAAAGGCTGAGACTGCGGGTCTGGACCCTCCACGGACATGGGGTGGGGGCTCCTCACCTGAGACCTGGAGCCGCAGGGGGTCACTGGGGTGTGACAGCAGGAAGGGGGAGGCGCTGTGTGAGCTGTAGCACCTGTAGGTGCCCCCGTGGGCTGAGGTCACAGCCCTGAAGGTGAAGAGGGCCTGAGAGGGGGCAGCTGTGTCCTGCAGACGCAGGCGCTGGGGGGACGCAGGCGACCCCTCCTTGGAGAGGTAGAAGGTGTCCGAGCGGGCGTCAGAGCGACACTGCAGGGTCACGTCCTCCCCCGGGGACACGGTGGGCCCAGGCTGGGCTGAGAGGGAGGGTTTCGTGTCCATTCCTGGGGGGAGGTTTGGTGTTAGAGACCCCCCAACCCCACACCCCTGACCCTGCGCCGAGGGCCCTTGTCCTCCAGGGCCTCTGGGACGCCCGGTCCTCCACTCCTGTGTGGGTCTCTCTATGTCTGTGCCCCTCACCCCCATTTCTCGCTCGCTCTCCCTCGACCACTGTCCATCTCGGCCTCTGCCAGGACCCTCCCCCTGGACACATCACCCCCAAGGTGACCTGGGCCCGGGCCCTCAACAGCCCATCGGGACCCACGGCGGCTCCTCACCTGCGATCAGGATGTTCAGGGGGGCGCTGGGGGCCGACCACATGTGGGAGAGGTTGTGTCCCCCGTAGCACCTGTACTGGCCCCCGTGGGTGCGGGCGACAGGGCCCAGGGGGAAGTCGGGGCTGTGCTGCCCGTCCAGACGCTGGGGGCCCATGTGCCCCTCATCCTTGGTCAGAGCGAACCTGCCAAAGCTGGCCTCCGAGCCGCACCGCAGGGTCAGGCTGTGTCCAGACGGCACCAGGGGGCCCGGCTGCGCCGACAGGGAGGGCTCCCTGTACGCTCCTGGGGACACGGGGACAGTGGCACCGAGGGGCACCCCGCATTGTCCACTGGGCAGCGGTGAGTTCTCACCGTCCCTCCCACGCCCCTGTGCTGTGATCTGGACCCAGGAGTCCACGTCACTGGCCCACGTCACCCCCGGCTCCCCTGGACACGGGCTTAGCCAGTCCCTGGGCCTGGAGGGACGTGACGAGGTGCAGCCTCACCTGTGACCTGGAGACGCAGAGGGGCGCTGGGCGCGGACCACATGAGGGGGTAGAGGTAGGAATTATGGTAACATATGTAGGTGCCCCCGTGGGAGGGGCTCGAGGGGCCCACGGGGAAGAGGGCCTGGTGTCTCCCCTGGAGAAAACTTGAGTTTCTTTGTCGGGGCGGGTCTGAGTCTCCCTCCTTCAGCAGATGGAAAGTGCCCGATACGTTCTGTGAGCTGCAGGCGAGGGTCACGTTCCCTCCTGCGGCCACCACAGGGCTGGGCTGGGCTGAGAGGGAGGGTGGGGTCCCCGCTCCTGAGGGAGGAGAGAGTGTGTTCGAGGGGGACCATCACCCCAATACCCAGTGAGGACAGTGAGGTCTCCTGAGCCCGCTCTTCCTCCCTCTGCCCGTGAGGGGGAGCCCCAGTGGGAGGGGACCCAGTTCCCCACTTACCAGTCACCACCAGGGCGAGGGGGTCACTCCTCTCGGAGAAGGCGCTGGTGCTGTTTTCGGAGGAGGCGCTGGTGCTGTTTTCGGAGGCGGCGCTGGAGCTGTTATAGGCGCACTGGTATCGTCCCGCATCGTGCGCACTTGTGTGTTCCCTGTGGAAGCCGACCCTGTCGCTGGAGCTGTGTGGGCGCTCCGTCTCCACGGCTCCAGAGACCCTCTCTTTGTACAGATGGTAGACCTGCGCCTGCTGAGACCCCTGACACCAGAGGGTCACAGGGCTCCCCACGGGGACCACGGGGCCTGGGTCGGCCCAGATGGCGGGTTTGGGGAGGGTCCCTGCAAAGGAGTCAGGTGAGTGTCGGGCTGCCTCTCCCTCAGTTTCCCCAGCCGTCACTCAGCCCCTCCAGGCAGGTCCCATCACCCACACCGCTGTGCTCCCCCCACTGTCCGGGGGCCCTGGGCTGAGGCAGGAGGTGTGGGGAGCACTCACCTGCCTGGACCTGGTCCCGTGGGCCCCGACACAGCCCTGGAAGAGAGGCCTGTGAGATGTATCCCCCCCAACTGGGGAACTCCAGGCCTGGCTGGGCCCTGAGGCCTGCTCAGATCCAGGGCTGAGCACATCTCCCCTCCCCAGCGTGCTGCCCCCACGAAGCCCCCGAGTCCTGGGGTCTCAGACCTGGGAGAGGGGACCCAACCCTCCTCATTCTCTGAAGCTCACCCAGGCAGAGAAGGGCCATGAGGGTGGGGGTTGGGGTGCTGCCTCCCATGGCCCTCAGCGGTGCAGACGATGTGAGCCCAGCAGGGCAGACAGATCAGGGGTCTTGACTACTTCTCCATCCGAATGACAGGCAGGGTTCCTCTCCTGGGCCCTCACAGGCAGGGAGCAACCCTCTGCAGGGTCTCTCTCTTCTTTTCCTGAGGACAGGCCACCGGGGATCTGTGAGTCTCCCCAGGCCCGACAGGCTCTCCTTCCCCTTTTTGGCAAACCCAGGCCCAGCAGGCAACCCAGACCCAAAGGAGGCCAAGGACACTGGGCGGGGCCTGAAGACAAATCACTTTCAGTTCTAATTTCCTTCTGCCCATTGCTTACCAATTTTTTTAAATAAATTTTATTTTTATATTCCCCATACAATTGCAACCCCCTTATTTTGACCCCAATGCCTCCCCCTCCCGCCTCCCACCCCCATAGAGTGTCTCTGGTTCATAGTATTTTGTTCATTTTGATTTTCACTTTCTTATAGTTATTCATTTTCCTGGTCCCTTATTTAGGTTTTCTAGATTCCTGCTATGAGTGAGACCATCCGGTATTTTTCTTTTTCTTTCTGGCTTATTTCGCTGAGCATGATCCCTTCCAGCGCCATCCATGTTGCTGCAAATTGCATGTGTTTCTTACCATTTTTTAAGTATATTTTCAGAGGCCGCCACCCTGTGAGTACAGTGGCGAGTGCCCTGGCCTCCTTCAGCCTTTATAGACGCTGCGTGGAGTTGGAAAGCTCTTCCTCTCCTGAGCTTCTCTAGATGCAAGTTTTCGTCTTTGATTCCTTCCCCAGACTTCCAACGTCCCTGAGCAGTGACGTGTTCAGAGAGTCCCTGGGGAGGCTGGCGGCCCCTTCCCTAGACTCACCACTGTGGTTGTGACGACAGAAACATGCGCGTATGGTTGATAACTGGCAACAGTTTTAGAAATTGGCAGGAAAAGCGAGGGCAGTGAGCATGAGTAATACCTGGACATCCAGCATCTGAGTCACGGGGTGCAGGACCTTCAAGAGAAGGGGAGACCAGGGGCAGACAGGGTCGGCGCAGGTGTGGGGGGGGACAGCATCCTCTGCCAAGAAGCGGAGCATCCTAAGAACTGGGCCATCAGGTGGCTGGGCCTGCTCTCACAGGGCTGGCCTCCCTGGGAGCACACCTGGATGGTGTCTTTCAGGTAACAGGTCATCTTAAGTTGCGGTGCTAGCGAGCTGATGGCTGGTGGAGAAGGCCTCCCGTGAAGAGAATGGACGTCGGATGTCGTGGGGATGACAGAGTGATAGAATCCCAACATTACTCCAACCCCTAATCACGAGCGATCATAGATGGTTCATGAGAATTTTCACGTATCCTCTATACGAATCCTACACCTCAAACCCTTCAAGCTGTGTGGGGGGGAAGGCAAGAAGAGTCTCGTTTTCATGGTCTGTGTGGTTTGGAAAGTCACTGCGGTGGTGAAATACTCAGAGAGCAGCCCCTAGATGCCCAATTGGGGTGATGGCAGGATGTGGGGGTGGGGTGTCCTGGGGTCAGTGTGGGTTGTTCGAGGAGCTGCTTTCCTGGGGCTGTTCTGACTCACTCAGCTGGACCATCAGCCACAAGCAACATCACATGAGATTCTTGGATCTTACTGGAGAAGGAGGAGGCCTGTGAGGGCTTGTGCAGGGATCACCGGCAGTAGATAAATTTGCTGCCGACAAGACAAAGCACCTCAAGAAGAAGTGGGCCCTGCAGCAGGAGGCCCAGGTGGAGGCTGAGGTGGGGGTGCCTGAACCCCAGCTGTGGCTGTGGATGGGCCAGGCCTGGAAGGAGGGCAGGTGGGTGGGTGTTCCTGGCATGTGAGCTAGGAGGGGGAGGGGCTGGGGGCTCTTCCAGGAGCCTTGCTGAATTGGGGTGCCAGCAGGGCCCTCACAGGAAGAAGACCAAGGGGAGCAGAAAACTGGGGGATGTTGTAATCTGGTACTGACCACAGGGCAGCCACCCCCCATTCCCGACCTGGTGCGCAGAGCTCCTCCACCCACTTCCTCCCTGACTTCCCGGAGTCTCAGCCCCTCTGTCCACCTCATCGCCCAAAGCTCTGCCTCTTCGCATGCTCCTGCCTCTGCCCCTTCGACCCTTCGTCTGCTGTGAGTGTTTCGTTCGCACCTTGGGCACAAGTGCTATCTGGGGACAGTTGCTGGTTTGGTGCGTTTCCTTGCATCCCTTCTCGCCATCTGAGGGCCTGGAGCTGCCGTCACTGTCGTGACGAGTCGTGCTATGAACGCGTTGGCAGAGGGGCTGGATTATTTGTAATTTCATTTCTGATTTTTTTTCTCTTCTGGATAAAATGTGATTCCAGTGACGTCACTGACAACATGTGATGCATGTGATGGGACACCCATACACACTCCACAGCGACCTTCACCCACAGCCAATTTTCCACCCTCCCATCATAAAGGCAGCCTGGTAGAGGCAGGTGTTTGCCAATCACTTCTGAGAAGGATTTAATATTTAAAATTATAAAGAACTAATAGCTCAACATCCGCCAGTCACAAAAAACAGATTAAAAATAGGCAGAGTGGGGCCTCCCTGGTGGTGTAAGGGGTTAAGATGCAACCTATGAAGTTGTCTGCAGCCTCTGCAGCACGAGTTCAATCCCTGGCCAGGGAGCTACCCACATGGCACAGCAGACCTCTTCTGACTCGCCCACTGCTCCCCTCAGCAGTGTACTTGGGTCAGGCTGCCTGTTCTGTTCCCTGCTCTCTCTGGTGAATTCTCTCACCCTCCCCCACACCTCTGGCCTGTACCCCAGCTCTCGTACACACAAATAAATAAATCTTAAAAAAAAAAAAGGGCAGACTCTCGAATACACACTTCAGCAAAGAACACATGGAAACACACTCACCCTCGATTATCAGGGAAATGCACAAGGAAATCGCAGCACGTTATCCCCGCAGGCACAAGCGGGAAACCTAAACATTGCTGGTAGGGATGGCAGACTGGCACCGTCACTGCTGGGAAGAGTATGGAGGGTCCTCAGAACATGTAAGAGCATGTCTTTGTTGATTGCTGAGTCATAGTCCATTGTGTATGCAGACCACATCTTCTTGATCCAGTCACCTATTCTGGGGCATGCCAGTCACAGCAACATGGATGGAGCGGGAAGGGATCATGCTCAGTGACATAAGCCAGAAAGAAAAAGAAAAATATCAGATGGTTTCACGTATAGGAGGAATGTAGAGGAACCACATAAGGGATCAAGAACAAGAAAGTAATTATAATACTTTAAAAATCAAAATCAACAGGCAACTATAAATCAGAGACACTCTGCACGGGGGAGAAGGAAGAAGGATCAAAACAGAAGAGCACAAGGGACTATGGTGATGGGACCCGGGTGAACGGGGGGTGGGTTTTTCACAGGGGCTACACCTGGGAGGAGAAAGCATGCACTGTACAAAAATGAGGACTGATGTAAAACATATATTAAAAAAAACCCTGAAGAGTAGAAGTATCGTAGGATCCGCTACCTCTCGGATAGGTTTTTACCCAAAGACATAAAAATGCTCTGCAAAAATGTGTTCACTGCAGCACCTCCTGCAAGAGCTAAGATACGGCAACAGCCTGACTGCATTCAAGGGGAGGCTGAGCGAGAAGGTGTCGTAGGTGCACGCGGTGCGATACTACTCAGCTGCAACAACAACAAAATCCTGCAAATTGCACCAACATGGATGGACCTGGAGGGTACTTTGCTAAGTGCAAGTCTTCTCCTTGTGGTGGAGACACATGATGTGGGATCTACCGTGGTACAAATGCTCCTGCAGTAACATCCTGTGGACTACAGGCGTGGGCTTGTACTGCTAATTTCGAGAACTTGCTAATCTTGCACAACTGAAACTTACACCTAAAAGGAAAATTTCTAGGTCACACGGTGGTTCTGGCCTTGACTTTTCAGGAAGGGCCAAGCCGCAGTCCACAGCAGCCGACCCGTTTCACATCACCCCAGCCCAGCGCGTGGGTTCAGATTCCTCCACGCGCTCAACAGCACTGCTCACTTTCCCCAAATGATGACCCATCTAGGGGGTGTACCCTGCCAGTTACTGTTCTATCTTGTAGAATTATCTTCCCTTATTTGTAGGGTTTCACTTAAGAATACACACACTCCTAAATTATTCATGGTGTCTTCTTTGCAACTTCAGGAAGCGGAATAATCGTAAACACAGAGTTCTCTCAATGTTCTCACACTTCACCCATCCATCAGGTTTGGCCATTTGCAATTTTTGTTTATTTTCACCGACACAGAATTGTTGAATTTCTTCACAGAACACCACATTTCTATCTTCTATTTGATACTTCCATCTTCTATGTTGATTAATACTGTGGGCAGTGTTTTAATTAAAATTGGCTGATACTATCACTCTCAGTGTCCTTGTGGCTGGAGCTGGTCCATTCGTGCACGTCTCTGAGGCCTCCCTGGAGACCACAGCGCGCATCTGCACTTTAGCAAGGGGGGCCCAGTGCACCCGGTCAGCCTCCAGCCCCAGGGGCAATCACTCTCGTTATCTCTTTGCCTCAGTCTGGACCAGCTAGAGGTAGAACGTGACATCAGTGACCCTGTGACATGAAGCAGGAATAATCCTGAGGGTAAGGAACAAGGAGGCGGGGCCTGGGTGTGGCACCTCAGGTGTCCTCAGCTTGCAATTGTGACCTCAATTCTGCAAACTTCCCCGATCGGCCTGGTGGCCCCGTCGCACCCCCCAACCCCCCATCGCCCCGGGGCACCTTGATGTTGGCGTGAAGGGAGAGGAGGCACCACAGAGACTCGTAAATCTTCAAAACTTCGTGTTCACAGGGGTCTCCAGGGGCGTCTGCCCGGAGCTGTCACCTCAGATAAAGGGTCTTGAGTCCCAAACCTACAGGGGGAGCCTGATAATAAAGGGGAGGTTGTGGGGGTCAGATGGGCTCAGGCACCGTCTAGATTTAGCTCCTCGGGATGGATCTTTGTGATGCCAGTTTGATGATGGACTAAACCAGATCTCGTGGTTGAGCTGGCATGTGGTGACTAGAGAGGGAGAAACTGAGTCCCAGGAAGGCGCACTGAGCCCGACTGTGTGTGGGGCGTGGCCCCAGCCTTCCGGGTGGGACGAGGCCGATTCACAGAAAGGACAGGAGGGGAGCCATGGAGCTGACGCAGCGTGGTGGGGAGGGGAGTCCCGCGTTTAATGACAGGAGGGTCCAGACCTTCACCTGCTCACAGCAAGGACCCTCCACCTCCCAGGGACCCGCAGACAGTCCCCGCGCTGCCCAGACCAGCTTCTGGCCTCGGGCACAGTCACCTCCAGGCTCATGGGCTCTGGCCGGGGCCTTGTCCCCTCCCGGGCCCCCCTCCCGCCGCGTCTCGGGTCCTCCTGTGGCTGTGAAGAGCCTCCAAGAGCAGGACCCCCAGGGCCAGCAGGAGGAAGGCGGCCACGCCCAGGCGGAGGAGGTTCCCCAGCGTGTAGTCCTGGGGGCGCGGGGCTGGGCCTGGGGGAGAGAGACACGCAGGTCACACAGGGGACCAGGGCACCTCCCGTCAGGACACGGGGTGAACGTGGGGAGGGTCCTTCTCCATCCGACCAGCCCCTCCCTGCGGGGCTGCAGACTCCTCTGCCCTGGCAACCCTGGTCCGCGCGTCCTGGCCCTGACTCTCCCTCCCGGGCGGACACTCGCAGCCGCAGCCCACGAGCAACGCGTCTGTCCTGACCGGCGGGGACACGCAGAGGGACATGAGGCTGCGTGTCTGCCGCCTCAGCGTCGGGTCTGTGTGGCCCGTCTACGCGGGCCTCTGAGGGGGTCCCAGTGACGGTCCCGAGGGAGACGGGACGGAGCCGATTCCTGGACAGAGGAGCCGAGAGGAGCCGGGACCAGACGGGCGAGGCTCAGGCTGCGGGACGGGCAGGTCCCTGGAAGGTCTTGGCAGCTCTTCACCAAGGAAAGAGCCACCTTTGTGAGATGTGGGGTGCAGGGGAGAGGGGGGCTGACTCTCTGGGGCTTCTGCCTTTGAGAGAGACCAGGGGGACAGGACAGACCGGGGAGAATCACCTGCTCCTCCTCTTCCCTCGTCTCCTCATCATTCTCTCTGTGTCTCTCTGTTTCTCTCTCATCCGCCTCTGGAAGCCCTCTACGTGGTCAGGAGAAAAGACTAATAATTTGACTTTTGCCTTCACACATCCTCTGCCCATCCACAGCAAACGAACAGAGCCCGGAACCCAGCGTCTGTTCACACCCCGAAGGACACGGATCAGTGTTGTTACAAAACTGGGTGAACACAAGAAACGCTTTCTTGTGACCCGATTTTGAACAGTTTCCACAAAATAACTTTAAAATTAAGGTCTGTCATCACAGATTCAGTGTACAATGTTTTCAATAAGCTTATGCATATTTCAGAAAATATAAATATATAAATAATCTACAAATGTTTGACATAACCGGAATTGAAATCATCTCACCATAGTTCAAAACTAGTGGAAAAATAAAATAATTGTGTACATTATGCAAATATTTTTACTAAGTGAGAAACGCCTAATATAATTTAAAATATATTTTATGTAATAAAACCCTGATGTCTCGGAGTAACGAACTGAAGTGACAAGTGATCGTGGTACATATAGAAAAAATATTTTCAGTATAGTGGCCTGAAAATACTTTGGGCTGATCATAAAGGGTTTTCATAAAATCACACAAAAGAACGTATGAATTTTCACACTGTCGTCGTGACACAGCATTAAAGAAAAATAAATTGGTGGAAAATCCAGAAATGAAGTTACAGTTCAATCTTGTCTCCCCTCCTCCCTGTCCCCTGTCTCTCTCCCTCCCTGGGGACCCTGAACCCCACCTCCTGTCCATCATACCCGGGGCTCCCCTATAAAAGCCTGTGCAGACCGGGAACCTGCGTAGTGAGGGGAGGACATCGCACACCACCACAGAGAGACCAGGGGTGCAGGGTGGGTCCTCCACACACACCTTCTCCACCCTGACCCCAGAGTCACTGTCACTCATAGCCTGTCTCTCTGGCCCAGGAGCCCCTGCCTCACCCCACCCTCTCATGAGATTCTCTGAGAACAATGACCCAACTGTTACAGTCCTTAGATGGGGCCAAGATGGGGACCCTCACCTGAGACCAGGAGCTCAAGGGGCTCACTGGGGAGTGACCAACCTGCGGGGTGCTCCTGTTGTAGCCATAGCACCTGAACAGCCATCTGTGACTGGGGGTCACGGGGCCCACATGAAACAGGGCCTGAACCTGCCACTGGGGAGTCACTGTAAGTTCAGGGTCCAGGAGGAATTGGGTTCTCCTTCCTCAGTCAGACGGAACCTGTCAAATCCGCGGCCTGAGCCACACTGGAGGGTCACGTTCCCTCCTGAGGTCACCACAGGGCTTGGCAGGGCTGAGAGGCTGGGTTTGGAATAAGATCCTAGGAGAGGGGGGGAGTCTGTGTTAAATGGGGACACTCCCACCACATCCTCCAGCGCTGGGCTGTGAGAGGGGAGATATCCTGAGAGCAGACCCCCCTCCCTGAGGGCACAGCCTGAGGCTGTACCCCAAGTGTGCTCTCACCTGTCAGCACCACCAGCTCCAGGGGGTCATTGCGCTCTGATCAGCCAGTAGGGGTGCCATAGTCACAGAGATATCTCCCTGCATAGTCCCCTGTCATGCGTCAGATAAAGAACTGAACCTTGTCCCTGGGCTCCAGTGTCATCTTTCTCTCCCAGGGTGCTGAGCTTCCTTATTTAGCAAGACGGAACTCCTGGGCCCCTGGGGCCCCCTGACACCAGATGGTCACTGGATTCCCCCAGAGGATCACAGAGCCTGGCTCAGCCTAGAGGGTGGGTTTGGGCAGGGCCACTGGAAGGAATCAGAGGCTGGTCTCAGGCGTCCCCACACTAGATCCAGCCCCAGCCCAGACCTTCCCAGATGTCCCCTCCATCACCCAGAGCTGCTGTCTCCACCCCAGCTGCCCAGGGGGGGGGCCCTCCCCAGTGCGGAGTCGGGACCCGGGACACCTGGGCACAGACTCACCTGCCTGCTTCGGGGTCCCAAGGCCCACAATCAGCTCTGGAAGAGAGGCCAGTGAGAGGCCTGGCCGAGTCCTCACAGAGCCTCCTCCCGGAGTCTCCCGAGTCCTGGGTCCCCTGACCAGGCCTGGCCATGGGGTCCCTCCAGACCAGGGCGCCCCTCCCTCCTCACACCTCACCCAGGCAGAGCAGGGCTATTAGGCTGGGGGTCATGGCGTCTTCTCTGTGACCTGGCTGTGGGGATGGAGGGCCCAGGATGCCGGCAGGATGGACAGACACACGGGTGGGGACACTGGTGGGTTGTTCCTTCCCACCCAGTGGGACACTCAGGGACACAGGGGAGACCGGGCCGCTCCTGCCTGAGTGTGGCTTCTCTGTTCACAGTCCCTCACCACTTCTCTCTTTTTCTTGCAGCAGCCTCCACCCCCACCTTCCTGGTGAGTCACTCCAGGCCCCTGGAGCTGGCTCCCCTCCCTTCCTGGGACTGTGTCCTAAAACTTAAGGGATGGGAAGTGGGCTAGAAACTGAGAAGTTTAAGAAAATTGCTGTTTAATTCAATGTTTGTCTACAACAACTCACTGTGTGAATTGAGCAAATTCATGATCAGGTTATTTTCCCATTTATCAATGTTATTTCATCAAAGCTGATTTTTGTCTCTTGAATCACCCACCTATGATCAAGTGTGGGTTTGTTTGATGAACAAAAATATAAGATTAACTCCACATACAATAATTAATTCAAAATGGATTAAAGATATAAGCACCAATGCCATGAAACAAAAGAAAACATAGGGACACCCACCAGGACATCAGCCAGAGCAGGCCCCAGGGACACAGCCCAGCAGCAAGGGAGATGGTAGCAGAGAAACCAGCGGGATGAAGTAAACCAGAAATTTGTGAATCTAAAAGAAAATCACAGAAGCAAACAAGAGCCTGCGGAATGGTGGATGATAGTTGCCAGCACATGTATCAGGGGTTAATCCCAAATATAAACCGCAGTCGAAACAGGCAGATGGAATCTACCCAAAGGACACAAAAACCTTAATTCAAAAGGACACCTGCACCCCTGTGTTTATTGTAGCACTACTTACAACAGCTAAGCTATGGAATCAACCCAAATGCCCAAAAATAGATTCCTGGATCAAGAGGAGGTGGCACATATACACCATGGAATATTACTCAGCCACCAAAAAGATAAACTCAGGCCATTTGCAGCAACATGGATGGAGCTGGAAGGGATCATGCTCAGCGAAATAAGCCAGAAGGAAAAGGAAAAATACCAAATGGTTTCACTTATGGGAGGAATGTATGGAACCAATGAAGGGATCAAGAAAAAATAACAACAATAATCGAACAACAAAACCAGCAGGCACCTGTGGGTAGGAGACATTCTCTGATGGAAAGAAGGAAACGTGTCAGGGCGGGGGGGAGAAGGGCACAAGGGCCTATGGTGATGGTTCGTGGGTGGAGTGGTGGTGGGAATTTTATGGGGACTGCACAGTGATGTAAAAGATAGGAATAAAAAATAAATATAAATTAATAAATTTTAAAACGTAAAAAAATGGGCAGATGCCTTGGTAGACATTTTTCTTCTATTTCTTTCATGTGAAAGATTTTTAATGGAGGTGGAGTTCAGAGAGAGGGAGGGGGTTTCAAGGAACAGTTTCCCAGCAACACTCCACATGTCGCAGTGGATGCCAGGCTCAGCCTGACGCGGCGCTGAGGCCAGAAAGCGGCCCCAGGTCTGAGCCCTCCCGGCGGGCACCACCGTCAAGACCCCAGAGGCAGCCCAGAGACGGCCGAGAGACTCAGAATCAAAACAGGCCCCATCACCCCCCGGGGGGCAGGGCCAGGGCCGCGGGTGCCCCGCTGCGGCGCCACCCCGTCCTACCCGCTGGGTCCCTCACCGGGCCTGGCAGCGGGCGGCGTCCTCGCGCTCTCCGCTGGGCGTCACAGCACCGCGTCCACCCCGCCCGCTCCGACCTCGGCACCCCGCGCGCACGCCCGCCGCGCCACGCCCGTCGCGCCACGCCACGTCATGCCCCGCGCCACGCCACGCCGCGCCACGCCACCACGTCACGCCGTTTGTCAGAGTGCGCATGCGCCATGGGAGGGCTACCGGCCTGAAGCTTTTGACTTTTACTGAACCCCCCACCACCGGGACCAGGAGAGCCCCCCACGCGGCTCCAGCCCCGCGCCTCCTCCCAGTGTCTCTCCATGGCCCCGCCTGACGCTCAATGACATTTCCTCAGGAGACCCTCACGGCCCCGCCTGCGAACACCGGCCCGGGATCCCTGATCATAAGGGAGACGCGGAGCAGCCGCTGGGAGGCGCCACCGCAGCCTGGGGGCGCGGAGGCAACAGATGGTGGTGGGCCCCTGAGGAAGGAGCTTTCCCCGCTGTGGCGGGATGCAAGAGCTGCCGCCGCCGCTGGAGATGCGTGGGGAGTTCTTAAGGAGATAAAATTGGCCTCCCTGGTGGTGCAGGGGATAAGAAACAACCTCTGAAGCTCTCCTCAGCCATGGCAGAACGAGTTCCATCCCCTGCTGGCCAGGGAGCTACCCACATGGCGCGGCAGACCTCGCCTGGCTCCCCGCTGCTCCCCTCAGCAGTGGGTTTTGTCCGTCTGCCTGTGCTGCTCCCCCCCCCCCCGTCTATGGTGAATCCTCTCACCCCCCACACCTCTGGCCTGTACCCCAGTTCTTGTGTGCATAAATAAATAAATCTTTAAACACACGCACGCGCGCGCACACACACACACACACACGCAAAGTACAGAGGAAAAAAATTCTTCTACATAGTGAAAAAAATGTGCTGGTTCCCTGAGGGACAGTGGGAAAAGAAGGGGTGGAGGGGTGGGCGGGCATTGACTCAGGTGGTTGGTGGGGGAGAGAGGGATGTGTGCACACGGGGAAGAGTAGATGCACCCCCAAAGTTATCATAATGAGATGTAGCATGTCGGTCCACAGAGGACAGTGTGGTCAGATAAACTACAGTGTGTTGACAGCGTGACTGGATGAAGAGAAACACAAGCTCACCTTCATACGCTGCTATAAACTATCTCATGAGGTAAAAAATAGCAAAGTGCATAGTAGGACAGCACGTGTGTGAAAAATAGGGGAGGGAGAGGGTCCTCAAGAATGTCCTCCTGGATCGCAGGTGCCTCAGCCCCGTGATCCTTGATTTGTCTGTGAGAATAAGAAGCCACCGTGGTGTTTGCCTCTGAAAAGGGCCGCTGGGTGACGGGGAAAAGCAGACAGACCTTTCATGGAGTAACCGAACTTGTACAGAGTCCAGCACATAGACCTGTACAAAATCTAAGCACAAATGAAAGCTTAAAATACGGGCTAATTGTTTAAAGATGAGCATGGAATCTTCCATTATTTTTTCAATAACAAAATGGAGAAATTTTCTGGGCTAGGGTTGATTTTGTTTGATGATTTTAATTCTCAGAGTTGATTTTGTTTGATGACTTTGATTATGTAGTTAATTTGTCTTTCAAAGGTCATAATGATTCATGGGTCCGCCTCTGGGTCCACTGGGCCCACCTCCCGCAGCATCTCGAGTCCTTCTGTGGCTGTGAAGAGCCTCCAAGAGCAGGACCCCCAGGACCAGCAGGAGGAAGGCGGCCACGCCCAGGCGGAGGAGGTTCCCCAGCGTGTAGTCCTGGGGGCACGGGGCTGGGCATGGGGGAGAGAGACACGCAGGTCACACAGGGGACCAGGGCACCTCCCGTCAGGACACGGGTGAATGTGGGGAGGGTCCTTCTCCATCCGACCTGCCCCTCCCTGCAGGGCTGCAGACTCCTCTGCCCCTGGCTATCCTCATCCACTGGGGCCCTGTGCTCTCTAATGCTGCCCCAGGGGACACCGCTCTGGCTCCTGGTTCCTGGACTGGTGGGAAGGCCTGTCCCCCTGTCCCCTGTGCCCGCCTTCTCCTTTAGCGACACCTGAAGTACCTCCTCTCTGTCTCATCACTCGCAGCCCTCAGAGACGGCAGGGGACTGAGCGCCACACCACGGGGTGCACTCTGCACTCCCTGACCCCATATCCAGCTAAGACCCCAGGGAGGGCAGGGAGGGTGTCTCAGGTGTGTTAGGGTTTTAGGGAGAGACAGAACAAGTTAGGAAAGAGGGTGCCCCATCCACCATGAGCTCGTCTCTCATGGTCGAGTTGGCAGCACGACGCGCTCTCGCTGCAGCTCCCGGCAGACAAGCAGCGGGTGCTGGGCGGCAAGTCCACTCCCGACGGCAGCGGTGAGAATTCACCCTCCGCTCCGCGCGCCAGGGAAGAGTCTGCGCACACGGACAGGACAGCGCGGCCCAGAAGACCGGTGGGCGGTCCTAGGGGAGACAGTTGCTGACTGGGTGTCACCCTGAAAGTAGCTGTGATAAGGGATGAGTGAACAGCACCCACGGCCAAGGCACAGTAGGAAGAGCTGTGAAGGCTGGTGGTAAGAGCCCAACATGGTAACAGCAAAATAGGACTCCGTTTCCTCCCCCGAAACAGGGCAGGGCAGGGCCTGAGTTTCAGAATCACGAGGATTTTCCTGCCCGACCCGGGCCGCGTGGAGGCGGAGTGGACGGAGCTGGGCGGCCACCGCGGGAAGAGGACACGGTGGGCGGCGCCGCCCCCGCTCTGAGGCCGCACCCCGCGAGCTGGCAGCAGGCAGGACAGCTCCTTCCAAGGGCTGCTCTCCAGGGTCCCACGTAGGACCTGTGACTTCTGCTTTTTCAGAAAGCGCGGGCTGTTAACCCCAGTTCTGGATCCTGGCGCCCCCCAACCCCCTTAGCCAGGTGAGCTCTTGTAGCTCTGGTCAGCATCCCGCGGGTTAGTGGGGACAGGATGAGCTGGGACAGGAGGAGTTTCACACTCTCGAACCTCCTAATTTTAACTGCTACTCCGAGGCTGGGAATGTGCTGAAGAGGGACAGCACTGGGAGTGCCTGCAGGTCTGGACTCATGGCTGCCGGGCAGGGCGGCCTCACGTGCTGCGGGCCTGGGTCTGCGGCAGAGCAGCCTGCTCAGCAAGCACAGCCCTTCCCGAGAGGAACACCAGCCTGGAGTCCCAGACCCAGGAGGGAAGTGGCAGCCACGCTCTGGTGGACTCTCGCCTTCTCCAGACACCATGTCCCCAGGGCAGAAGGCATGCAATGGGGAGGGGGTGTCGGACACAGCGAGCGTGGGGAGAGGGCGGGGCTCAGTGGAACAGGGTAGAAGCCACCAGTGGTTCCTGAGGAGGCGTGAGGTGGGAGGGAAGCCTTTGTGGGTTTTTAAGTGAAAGGGCAGTTCAAAGGGAGCTGCAAAATGTGCTTGTCAGGAAACAAAGCAGTGATGAATGTGCACAGCTGGGGAGGATCAGCAATTCTCTGGCGTTTCTTTACATTTTGCGCACAATATCGTTGTCTTTGGTCCCTCCGTTGTCCAGTTGGAGACCACACTGCACTCAGCTCCCATTCCAAGCTGGCTCCTCAGCTCCGGGCGCCTTCTCTCCGATCTCAGAGAGGGCTAATAACAGCCCAGTCTCTCTTCAGCAAGCCGCTTTGGAACTCCATAGAGGATTCCTGACTAGACCAGGATCCTGCTTTTGAGTCCCTCAAATTTTGAGTAATTTGACTTTAAAGCAGCATCAGCTGTTCACTTTATCTGCAGCTCCAGGTTTTGGTAAGAGATCAGATCAAGTCAAAGTGCACAACCACCTGGAAGCGTGTTTTTGTGCCACTGGGCACTGCTGTGTAGTCTTTCTGCTGTGCCATGTGGGTCAGCTCCCCGGCTGGGATGGAACTCAGGCCTCAGTGGCTGGCGACACCTTGATAACGCTAACACAACTCCTGCCACCAGATAGGCCCAAACAGAATCAAGATTAAGATGTGCCACGGAGAGTGTGTGCAAGGACTAGATGGGAGTGTTTGGACGGAACCAAATAGTATTTGCACGATAGTAACAGCTGCTTTGAGGCTTCATGTTTAAATAGTCTTTTAAAATGCAACAGAGGGGCCTCCCTGGTGGCGGGAGGGGTTACACATCAGCACTATGGAGCTGTCCGCAGCCACTGCAGCACGAGTTCGATCCCCTGCTAGGGAGCTACCCACATGGTGCAGCAGACCTCTCCTGTCTCCCCACTGCTTCCCTCAGCAGTGGATTTCGGTAGATTGACCTGTTCTGCTCCCCACTCTGTCTCCTCTCACCCCCATACCTCTGGCTTACACCCCAGTTCTTGCATACATAAATAAGCCTTTTTTAGAAACAATAAAACACAACCGAACGCTAATAGCAGGCCTTCTGGAACAGGTTTCTAGCTTTTCTTTGCAGTGAGCATGAGACACTTGCGCCCCCTCGTGGCTCCGGGTAAGGTTCCGTTTTAAGCCGAGCCGTCCAGGGTCTGACCCCGTGAACACCCACCTCCCATCACAGCGACTCGGGGCTCTCCTAGCCAGGGCGCCGCGACCCGACATCCTGGACGGCACAGTCGGTGGCGCCCGGAGTCGTGGTCTGCAGGTCCCGGTGTGTCTTTGCTGGGAGAGCCTGGGGCACCTTTGTGAGCAGCCAGGGAGCG